GGGCTTCCTGCCTTTTCTCCTTGGCTGAGCATCCATTGGACATAGTGGCTGTTCTGCCTGTATATCAGCAACAGATGTACTGCCCCATGGCCTCTCTGGGAACACCTTACTTTGCATATTGCAACCCGGTTGCTTTAATCCTTGGGAGAGACACACTTAGTAGTGCAGTGGGCTCTGGAGGTTCATCTTGCGACCACTAAGACCGGGGCCTTTAGTGTGGTGGCAGCTTCCCATTAAAATGCAATCCCACTGAATATCAGGCAACCATGTACACCCTTGGCATTTAGAGGCCTGCTTAGAAGTCGTCTGTTAACCCAGGCTTTTCCTGAGAGGAGATCTGGCTACTTCACTGTATTAAGCTGATTTGGGGTGTATTTTGTACTTGTTGCATTAATGTAATTTTATTGTTGGTTTTATGCTGTTCAACACCAACATATTTAATTTTTGATGTTGGCAGTGTGTAAATTTTTGCAAATATATAAATAAAGCGAGCGTAAAGCTTGTTCCCTTCATAAGTGACCGAAACTGACGCCTGCTATAAAAATGTGTGTCATGCACATTTAAAAAAAATAAATAAGGAAAGATTACAATATAACTGGAAGGTTAAAAGCATATTCCAAGTATGATTCCTATAGACAGAGAGCTGAAAAGATAAGATGTAGTTAGTCATGCTGTGATATGGATAATGAAATCATGAAGCAATCCTAGATGACTGCAAGAGCCAAGTGCCAACCACTACTACTGAACAACATTCATACATTTGGGAGAGGGAGAGGCATGTGTAGGAATGCACAATAAGGTGTAGTGTGTGTGTGTGTATCCTCACTAAGTTTTTTAAGGAGCTGTTCAAAGGGCTGTTGAACTCCTTGACATTTATCTCCCCCACCTTAATCTTAATGGGCTTAGGGATAGGCTCTGGGTGTTACATCTCTGGGATATCTGGTAAGTACCTCTGGTACAACCTTGCATCATTGCTTAAATGCATTATGGATGGGTAAGGAAAAAGGAGGTCTTTTCTTCTTGAGGGTCATATACCAGCCGCATTGTAATCAGGGCTTCGAATGTGAAAGACTAGCAGCCTGATCTGAAATAGTAAATCCTATGTTCCTAATGGATCTATTTTATGATCCCTCTATGTAATGTGGACATGGCATTGAAATGAAACAGACTCCCAAATCAATATTTAAAATTGAATTCAAAGGGAAAATAAAGCTTGACTTTCTGTTTTTATTTTCTCCTCATGGAGGGATTTTTTAAATGGTGACAAATATCTAGTCGAGTATGCCAAATTTTCTTCAAACGGGGGGAAGCTTAAGTGGGAAAACTTAAAGAGAAGTGAGAAAGGGGAAATAACTTTATTTGAATTTTCAGAATTTATTTTGCTTGCAACATTGAATTTGCATATCTAAATTAATAGCACTTTATTGTTTTTGGGTGCCTTTTGATGACCCATTTTGGCTAATGGAAAACAAGGCACCCTCAAGCGCTTATTTTGTTATGCTTCCTTTGGCAAAATGAGAACACGTGTAAATGAAGTGCACAATCACTGGAAACAAAGCATCATTTCACACATTATTTTTTAAATTCTGTTGATTGCTAGATGCATGCATGGGTGTTTAGCAATCCTAAAATGGTAGGGAGGCAGGGCTGGAGATTCTGCAGTGAAGAAACCTCCAATTCCCAAACTTGTGCCAAGTAAGGCGGAAGAAGGAGGGTGGATTTTCCCATTCGGTTTGGTTCCGTTCAGCTTCCGATTTCCACTAAGGAAGGCCAAAAGGAGTATGCCAGTTTCAGGATAGGTGAAACTTTTCAACTCTCCTGGGGGCATGTTAGAGAATGAAGGGGCTCTATATGTAGTGGGTCCATGGCTTCCCCTAATCCACCCAAGAGCGACCTCTGAAATAACCTCTTTTGGGGCCCTGGGGGCCTCCATCTCCAGAGAGGTCTGCAGTATCATAAGATCCTGGGAGCCACCTTCCCAGGGAATGTAGGATTGCTCTCTTAATTTTAAGGGCTATTTTATTGTTACTGTGGCTCTGTACATACTCCTCTTTGCTCTGCATCCAGTGCACTCCCATTGCTGGTTTATGAAGCCCAGTACACATGGTGTCAGCCACAATCCATATCTAGCCTGAAGCTCCTTGAGAAAGACTGCATTTTTGTGTGTTTTCTCCCAAACTGTCTTCAAAACACATCCAACCGTACTGATGTGTACAGCACATGCAAATAGAAATTGAAATAGAGTGGGGGGGGGGAGATGTCACTGCTTCATTTTAAGCCGGTATTGTGTACATGAGTCTTTAACTTATTGTTTGAACTGCCTTGAGATAGGTAAAACAAAATGGTAAAGGACCCCTGGACAGTTAAGTCCAGTCAAAGGCGACTATGGAGTTGCGGCGCTCATCTCGCTTTCAGGCTGAGGGAGCCGGCGTTTGTCCACAGACAGTTTTCCGGGTCATGTGGCCAGCATGACTAAACCACTAATGGCGCAAAAGAACACTGTGGTTGAAGCCAGAGCACAAGGAAACACCATTTACCTTCCCGCCGCAGTGGTACCTATTTATCTACTTGCACTGACATGCTTTCAAACTGCTAGGTTGGCAGGAGCTGGGACAGACCAACGGGAGCTCACCCTGTTGCGGGGATTTGAACAGCTGACCTTCCGATCAGCAAGCCCAAGAGGCTCAGTGTCCCTGAGCTCAGTGTCCCTGAGCGTCCCTGTGCTCTGATGATGAGTAGTATAGAAATTTTCTGATCCATACACAGAGAGCTCCATATCTAAGTAAGAATGCTTGGTACATCCTTGGCTTTCGATCCTCTAAAGCATTTTGGTAATGCGGAAATAATCAACACATTCAACAATAACAATGGAATGTTATCAGATTATTCAGTTTAAGTTCCCTGCTTTGAGGTGGCATCCTGTCTACAGAGCTAAGCCTCTGAGCTTCTAGCCTTTCCCCACCAGCATTATTGACACGATAGCTCACTTAATTCTTTCTGAAAATCTAAATGACATTATTCTGCAAACTATCACATTCCTATGGAGGGAGAGGGTAGTGTTTTGGCATGAACCAGTTGGGGGAACCATCTATGCAAACTCTTTCAACAAGTTAAAATATCCATGGAATCATAGAATCGTAGAATTGTAGAGGAAAGGACCCCCAAAGGCTAAAAAAAATCTGGATTTTCACTTTCTGAAATATGGCAACCCTATAGGATACACACATTCATTTTGGAAGGAAGGTCATCAATCCACCTTCCTGCATCCAGCACAACGATGGCGGTGACAGGGGAAAGGACTGGATGGCCTCAGGGTACCATGGGAATTGCTATGTCATTTGCAGAGGAGCTAGAGAACGCCAAACAGATTGCCAAACAGAGTTAGCACAACAGAACATTAGATCAATCAACAATAATCAAATAAATGTGTTCTTTTGGTGTCATCTGAAAATACCTTGAGACTGGAAAACTGTTGGCTATTAATATTAAGGGTTTAATAAGAAGCTGCCTTGTACTGTCCGATCATTGCTCCATCTAGATAAGTATGGTCTACAGAGACTGGCAGCAGCTTTTCAGGCTGAAGTCCCTTTGTTCTCCTTGAATATACCAGGGATTGAACTTCCTGTGTGCAAAGCAGATGGTCTACCACTGAGCTATGGCTCCAAAGCATCCACTCCCAATGGTACATATGTACAAAATGCTTAATTCCATGTTCCCACAATCCTGTGCTAGTGACCTGTGCAGGGTGAGGATTCTAGATACGTAGCTAGCTTCCAGCTCTAAGTGAAGGACCTCAAGGTAGGATGAGAGAGACTTGGCCTTTTCTAAGAAGACTCTTGTGTTTTCCAGTTGCATGCTACAGACATGAAGTGCTGCGAATTCCCATGTGGGACATGTGGTTGGAGTTGTTCTGCAGAAGTTCTGACCAAGCTTGAGGCTGAGAGAAGGAAATTTATGCTATGCATGTGTAAAAGACAGACTTTACGTGCCATTAGGTTTGTGTGCATCACAGAGAATCATTGCGACCAGATGCGGTGATGGTCTTAGATGGCTCTCAAAAAGGGTCAGATAAATTCATGGAGGTTGGGATAACTAAGGGTTCATCCACCCTTCTGCTTTCCCCACTGCCTTCCCCTGGGGAGATCCAGTCTTTACTGCTGCATCAGAGCAAATGTCAACTGAGCTTTCTCTGGATTAACATTTGCTCCGATTTAGAGCTGAAGATGCTTTCAAAGCCCAGATCCATGCCTAGAAAGCCCAGTACGAGCAGAAAACCACTTGGACCTGTGCTTTCTAGGCATGAGACAAGTGGAAGTGTGGATGAACCCTTAAAATGGAACTTCTATGCTCAGAGACAATGTAACCTGGATTACTAGATGCTGAGGGGGACAACAATTTCCATTATGTCCTATTTGTGAACTTGAACTTCTATGAAAAAAGAAGTTCCTATTTGTGAACTTCTTTTCTATTATGTCCTATTTGTGAACTTGAACTTCTATGGAGGGGAGTTCCTATTTGTGAACTTGAACTTCTACAGAAAAAAAGGTTGGGCCATATGTCTACCTAGTCCAGCAAGGCATTTCTTAGGTGCTCATAATGAAGCATGTGTGTGTGTGTGTGTGTGTGTGTGAGAGAGAGAGAGAGAGAGAGAGAGAGAGGGATGGGGGAGAGAAACACATATAAAGGCCTATCATTTCCATAAATTCTCTGGGCCTCTAAGTCCTAAACATTTTGCATGAATCACTTAGCCATGTAATAGTGCAAAAGCAAAAAAAAAAATTGTTACCCACAGGACAAGTTTAGGAAGAGTAAACACACATCAGCATCAACAGAAATTTAGTGTCCTGATCAAGGGAAATAATAGTACCACTCTGTTCTGTCTTGGTCAGACCAATACTGTAACCAGTTCTGGGTGCCACAATTTAAGAAAGATATTGACATGCTAAAACAGAGGAGGGCAACCAAGATGATCAAAGGTCTGGAAACCTTATGAGGAACAGTTGAGGGAACTGGGTATGTTTAGCCTGGAAGAGAGGAGATGAAGAGGAAATATGATAGCCATCTTCAAATATATGAAGGGCTGTCACATGGAAGATGAAGGAAGCTTGTTTTCTCTTGGTCTGGAGGATAGGACTCAAACCCATGGATTCAAGTTACAGGAAAGGAGATGCCAACTAAACATCAGGAATAGCTTTCAGGTGGTAACAGCTGTTCGACAGTGGGACGGACTCCCTTGGAGTTTGGTGGACTCTGTTTTCGTGGAGGTTTGTAAGCAGAGGTTGGATGGCCATCTGTCATGGATACTTTAGCTGAGATTCCTACATTGGACTAGATGACCCTTGAGACCCTTCCAACTCTACAGTTCTACGATTCTGTCTCAAGCAGCAGAAAGTATGTGTTACCAAGAACAACAATAACAAACATGTGAAAATTATTTCCCAATGCCAAATGTGCAGTCATTTAGACACTGGGTTATATTTTATTTTCTTTCAAATGCATGCACAATTATTATTAATATTTACCAAGAATGGATTTCTGTTTTCAAGCCCAAACTCAGCTGCTTTTTTTTTTTTTAAGGCTCCTTCATTTGCTTAACTCCAGCGCCATCTGTTGTTAACTCGGGGAAAATAATGGCCAAATCCAAAGGGAAGCCACACCAATAGATAATGAAATATTAATTTTAACTTTCTGTTGTGAACATAAATGGTGGCACAGAAAACCATGTTTCTCGGGAGTGGAGGTGAAGGAACTCCCTTAAGTGGGAAGACATCTGCTATGCATGAGAATGTCCCAGGTTCAATCCTGGCATCTTCAGGCTAGGTGAGACCCCCGTCTGAAACTCTGGACGGATATGCCAGTCAGTATAGAGAATACTGAACTAGATAGAAAAATCCTCAGACTTGTCTGAAGGCGACATCCTACGTTCCAAAAGTGAATGGAGTTGTCACCTTTCTTAAGCAGTGCTGTGTTTTTAACAGCGGACTGACCCACAAATATTTGGCAGGTGAAGCATCTCACCAGTTTGATTTGTGTGTGCCAGGCTACAGTGAAAAAGTCGCAAGAACATAATAAAATCCTGCTGGACCAAGCTAATAGCCCACTTAGTCCAGGCCCCTGTTGCCACAGTGGTCACTCAGATGCCTGTGGGAAGCTTGCAAATGGAATCCAAGCACAAGAGCCTTCTCCCCTCCTGGGGTTTTCAGCAACTAGCATTCAGAGAAGCATTGCTGCTTCTGACCATGGAAGCAGAACATAGCCGTTATGGCTAGTAGCTACTGATAGCCTTATCTTTCATGAGACAGGGTCAGAGTCCGTAAGCAAAAATGCCAACCCTAAAAAAAAAACTTAAGGAAACCGTCGTGCAATGTTCATGCCATTCACCATCATGTGAAGCCAGTGTGGTGCAGTGGTTAAGAGCGGTGGACTCGTAATCTGGGGAACCGGGTTCACGTCTTCGCTCCTCCACATGCAGCTGCTGGGTGACCTTGGGCTAGTCACACTTCTTTGAAGTATCTCAGCCTCACTCACCTCACAGAGTGTTTGTTGTGGGGGAGGAAGGGAAAGGAGAATGTTAGCCACTTTGAGACTCCTTTGGGTAGTGATAAAGCGGGATATCAGATCCAAACTCTTTAAACTCTTCTTCTTCATGTGGGCAATGGTAGCTGATCCATTAAGGCCCTTCTGCACCAGCCTCGGTCTCCAGCTAACTTCCACCTGCCTGCCTTTTAACCAGTCCAGGGGGGTGGCACCGCCTGTCAATTCTTCCTCCTTAGGCTCAGTGTTGCTCTTTAAGAACTCATCAGGGTTCATGATGGGGACAAAATTGGGAAAAGTGGCTGTCATTCTCTGGCTCCATCTACTCCTGGTCTCCCTGCTTTCTGCTCTGCCAGTCCCAATGGGCTCTGGCTGCCATTTGGCTCTTCACTGCCCCCTCCAAATCCAAAATTTACTTGCCAGTACATAACACATTCTGAAGCTTGGCAACCACCCCTCAAAGAATTCTGGGCACTGTAGTTAATTAGAGGTTGCTGAGAATTCTAATTCTATGAAGGGTAAACTGCCCAGAATTCTTTGAGAGAAAGAATATGCTTTGAATGTGCTTTAAAGGTGTGGCGTACCCTACACAGCCAAAGTTTATGTTTCTATGAAAGTTTCCTTTCTATGAAAAGGAAAAAAAATGGCATCTGTACATGCAATTGAGAAATAATGTAACTTCAATGTCAGCAAGATAATTTGAGTCCGCACCAATTTACCATTAATAATAATAATCGTAATAATAATAATTTTATTATTTATACCCTGCCCATCTGTCTGGGTTTCCCTAGCCACTCTGGGCAGCTTACAGTACATATAAAAACATAGGAAAACGTCAAACATTAAAAGTTTGAGTCACTTGCATTTGAATATCTATCTGTGAAGGCACCCAGATATTCTACATGCAGTCAAATTAGCTGATGCTACTGTTACCCAAGATTACAGCACCTGAGGTTACAACCCTCAAAGGGAAATCCATGCGTGAACAAGTCTTACATTTGTTATGTATGTTGTTTTGCTTGCCTGTTTTCCTTTGAAATGTCAGGTATCAACTGTTGCCAGGTGCAAGAGATGTTAGGTGGATCTGGCAGAACAGTTCGTGCTACCTGCTTGGCTTACTAACAAGTAATTATTATTACCAAAGAGAACACAAGTCAGCATCATTGCAGAAGAGTGGGAGATATTTTATCATGCCTCTTCCATACACCAACAAGGAAAGTGCTATCGTGCTGCTGATTTTCAAATCAGAATTACAGGTGCCGCTGATAGCGAGCGCTGAGCCATGAAGCTGCAAGAACATGGCTCGATTCTCAGATACCACACTGAGTTCTGCTTCTGGTGTCGTTAGAAATAATCTTACAAAATGAGCAAATGTGAATATGGAGCATAACTATGGGAAGCAGAAATGATATTCAGCTGCTTTCAGATAAGCCTAGTACCCAAGTAGAAATTTCTGTACTGATAAAACTAAGCAACATTCTGATTTGGTTTGATTCCTTTCCCCACTTTCCTTTTGCAAAGGAAAAACATTGCAACCTTCGCATCCTAACAGTGCAATCTTTTACATATTTACTCAGAAATAAATCCCAATGTGGTCAATGGGTTCAGAGAAGAGTGTGTAGGATTGCAACCCAAATTAAGGACTCAGCTACATTAGTAAAAATAAAATGTTATAAATGCGTTATAACACTGTGACGCCAGATGGCGCTGTAGAGCTGAAATCAGAACTCTGTGAAATTTTCCATTGTGAGCTTTAAAGCAGTTTTTTTCCGGAGCATTTTCAGAGTGTTTTTTACAGCTGTGTAGATGCAGCCTAATAATCTGATACTAATTCAGAGAATAAAACATCTCTTTCTTTCTTTCTTTCTTTCTTTCTTTCTTTCTTTCCTTCCTTCTTTCCCAGTTCTATAATGTATGTAAGAACTTGCACTCAATATGACAATGCAGGTTTACTAACACCTGAAGCTCACTACTTCTCTTGTTGAAATCGCCACCAGCATGGTTAGAATGTGGGAAAGGGTACATATTGTCACCCCACTTCTTTCAATATGGATGAAATGAAGGGTCTAATCTTCACCAGTGATCTTGACTAAGGATCCAGGCAATGAATCCCATTCTGCATGCATTAATACAAGGTGTGATTTTGTGTACATGGCCATGACCCATACACCATTTGCATCATAGGTTATGCAGCAACTTAAACAGCAACAAGGTCATTTCTGCACACACAAACACAGCTGTGTTTCAAATTGCATCTTTACATTGCTATACACACCATGGGGGGGAATATTTAGGAAGTTTTTAATATCTGATGCTTTTAATGTATTTTTAATCTTTTGTTGGAAGCCACCCAAAGTGGCTGGGGAAACCCAGCCAGATGGGTGGGGTATAAATAATAAATTTATTATTATTATTATTATTATTATTATTATTATTCACCCAATGCCCATGACCTGATTTGTTTCCCCGCATCTGAAACCTTCCCAACTTCTATTCAAAGAAGTTGTAACCTGCACAAACGTGATGGATGTCTTACATGTACACAGGTTTTTAAGTGAGATGGAAGCTGGTTTGAATGGGACTGCATCACAGGATGTTTTCAGATTTGGTTTATCTGTAAATGAATTAAGAGAAAAGTCCTCTGAAACCTAAGGCAGTGCTCCCAGCAACGCTTGAAAATGATGTTCCATTGAAATCAGTGGGACTCAGAACAGAGTCACAAATGCAAGCTTGCCATACAATGGCTTGCCACTGGATTAATCCACAGCATACATTGACTTGCAGTGGATGTATGAACTGCCTCAAGTTAAGTGTGTTCTTTCAAGTGGTCTGCCTCTTTGGCAGCACAGTCTGTTGTAGGGAAAAGAGAAAATAAAGCTCCGTCCTCCCAAAACGTATCTAGCTCGTTCCACTATCAGTATATACATTTTATGATATTCTGCACGGTTACATGTGATGGTTGTTTCAGACATAAAAGTTACCACTTGACATCACAGTCATGAACTGTGAGCTCAGTTTCCTTAGCAAATGTGTTTAGGATTTATAGTGAAAATACTTTCATTCTTTTACACCACGTACTGTATTGGAAAGGAAATGTTGCAGAAAAGGGTAAGATTCCCTCTCTTTGCAGCAGATGGGCCTGATGCCTGCAAACTGTTTTTGCCATCATGAACAATGGACCCAGAGATATTCTGAAGACATGAAGACGATAGGTGACTCCTGCCTCATCCAGCAACTTGCCTAAGAGTGCAAGGCAGCATGGGGTAAGGGCACCATCAAACCTGCCTTTTTGACCCTGAAAAAACAACAACAACACTGCGCCCTCAAAGTGCTCCATGGATACCAAAACTGTGCACATGTTGCCATTTAGTCTGGCTCAAATGCACTCTCACCACTGGTGTTTAAAGCCAGAATTACAGGTGACGTTAGTTGCAATCTATAGGTATCTTGTTGTTTCTTGAGAAATTCTGATGTTTCATGCAGTGCTTTTTTTCTTAAAAAATGGTTAGGGGTACTCTCATTTTGACTCAAGAAAATCACCATTTTATAGTTCAAATTGGGAAAAATACAGTAAATGGACAAAAGCACAAAGATTCACAAATTGTTTAGGGGTATGCATATCCTTACGTACCCCCCCCAATAAAAACAACAGTGGTTTTATGTGTTCTCCCTGCTGCACCCCCACCAGCACGAGAGGAGCAGTAGCCAGACCACCTGCAAAACAGCTGGAACTTTTGCTACAATCTTCCTGCTTTGCCTTGCTATTGCTCCCCCCACACCCAGAGGCAGGAGAGATTTTTAAAAGGAAAATTCCCTTATTCCGAATAGGATTCCTAGCAAGAAAAGAGAAAAGTTGACAGCTATGTGGAGGACACTAGACCCACCCGCTGATTTACTACAGCTGGCCTTGACACCAGACTGCAGGGTGGGGAGATTAGAATGCTACTTAGCGGGCTAATTGTTTATTATTTGAGAATCATCAATGTTGTTTGTTATTTATATTGTGTGTTGTTTTTATTTTTTCATGTTAGGTTAGACAATATATTGATGAGCCCCCTTTCCCCCTTCCCCATATGGGGTGGGTGTGGGTGTGCTGCTGTAAGTGGCTTGGAGACCTTTGGGTGACAAGCGACTAACAAATTTAATAAACCAATTCCTTCAAACGTTATGCAATGGACACATCTCCGCTTCACCGTGGCTTAACGTTTTCAAATGCAGTGCACGGAAGCATTATGCCGCAATGCTTCTTTGCTCAAATCCGGGGCGCCTCGCTCTGCAGTGACACCCGCAGAGCTCCATGAAGACGATCACTTCCCGAGAATGCTGCTCGGAGACCGGCCCCGCTCGGATGAACCGCGACGCCGCCCGCTCCGCGTCTTCCGTTCCAGGCAAGTCACATGAGTGGTCTGTGCTCACTCTCCCCCCTATTCCCCCCCTTTTTTTACAAAATGGAACGGTCCGCGTTATGCTGCGTGCCGTAGTACGGATGAGGGGCGGAGCTGGGTTGCTGGCGGAACAAACCAATGAGCGGGAAAGGGGAGAGGGCAAGTTTGCGGAAGGAGAAACGCGTTTTGTAGCCTTTGCGCGCTGCGGAATATTAGCGAGCTGGGAGTCGAGAACCTGGCATGGGTGCCGTCAGAGGGCAGGAGCACCAGCCTCCTCAGGAGGTAAGGCTGAAGCGGCGGGGCTGTGTTTCCCTCTCGCCGGGCAGGCTGGCCTTTCCCTTGCGGGTGGCGCTTCCCTGCCCCGCTTTTGTCTATGGGCTGCCGTTCCCCATAGCGCTCTTGGGGGCGGGAGCTTTCCGGGCAGCGCTTGCTTCGCAAGGCGAGCCCGCAAGTCCTGTTGCCTTGCAAGAAACGCGCCCCGAACACGTCGAGGTTCGCTTCTGGGGAAGGAAGCGTGTATATAGGATAAGCGCAGCCAGGGGCGCAGGCTTCTCCAGGAAACGTTAGTCCAGGGACCGGTGTTTGTTTGTATGACGGGGAGGAGAACTCAGCGAGGGGATAAATTGCTGGGCCAGTGTCACACTCTGCACATGCTCAAGGCGCTCATCATTGCTATTACCTCAGATGTCTTCCTGGACGGGTGCTTAGTTCAGTAAGCCCTCAATTTACGCGAGGGATCACGCCTAAAGTCAAAATCGCATATGGGTTCAGTGGACAGTGGGATTACCAAAGTAAATTCCCCCCGAACGCCCTGCCCACTTTGTGCATTTTTGTTCATTTATATTTTTTTTACCACATTTTTATTCATTTATATATTTTTTTTACCACATGCATAAAGAGGAATGCTGTGGTTCCCAACTAGGCACACATCCCACAGGGGACAATTCGATAATGAGTTACTAACAGTGAATTTTTTGCATTTCTTGTGGTTCTAGGGGCCTCATATATAGTATATACTGTAAATATATATTGTGACATACACATTTTAAAAATTGAAATCAGAATGTACACGGTGGTCAACTGGTGACAATGGAAAGGTTATCTAAACCTTGAGTGGGGAGGGCGGGGTATAAATAAAAATCATCATTATTATTATTAAACAGAAAAGTTTATCTAAACAGAAAATACACTGGGCGCATTCAGGGGGAGTAGCGCTCCGTGGGGGGTTGGATCAGGTTTTTAGAGATACTTAGGTGGGGTATGGCCAAAAAAAGGTTGGGAAGGAACCAGTGGCTGAATGCAAGCAAGTTAAATGCATGTAAGTTTGCAGGCTTACTGTACTGACAGGCAGTACATCAGCTTCATTTGGGTGAGTGCAGACTGAAATAAAACTCTCCTCCCAAACTCCCATGGTGTACCCAGAAGATAGGAGGCTGCTTGGAGTTGCATATTCTCTGTTCCAGAGAATATTTCCCTGAGTGTCATGTCTTGCGCTTGAAATACCCTGTGGATCCTTTGGAGGTGGGAGTGGGGGAATGAAATACCACATTTCCTTTGCTGCTCAGAAATCGGTAATGGTAAATGTTTGTCACAGAGAACTGGATAGCTGTGTTTATTTTCTGTGAGCATTTTCTATAGAACAGTTATATGTCGTACTGTGAACAGACAGTCCACAATGTTGCACCACATCTAGATGGTAAAAGTTGTTATTATAACAAATTTATTTGTACTCTGATGTGACTCGAAGCAGCTTACATATAAAATGAGAACTGATAAAAACATAGAAAAACATTAATTAAAAACAGTAAATCATTGTTAGAAGTAAAGTTCTGCTTTTTGTCTAGCAGAGCAATCCTATGCATGGTTTCTGAGAAATAAGGCCCACTGTGTTCAGTAGTTACTTGGTCCCAGGACTGTAGGTGCTTGTCATCCTTTTGAAGAACATCTCACAGGTTCTGAGTGATGCGGGGAGTGGCAGCAGAGAGACACTTTCTCTAGAAGGTTACTCCCATAATGTGCTTTAGTACCAACATACACATACGTGGAGCTGCATGTCTACCAACATACACATTTTTTTAACTCTGTCAAAGTACAGCCCTGTATTGTAATACAGGGGGAGTCACTGTGGAGCTCTACAGATTTTCTTCCTCTTCAAAGACTACAGTTCCCATCATCCTTGACCATTAACTGTTCTGGCTGGGACTGATGGGACTCGTCGTTCAACAACATCTGGAGGGCTGTCTGTTATGATGTATGAATAGCATGGCTTTGTGACCTTTGCAAGCATCCAGCTTGTATGCAAATATAGACCAACCTGTAACATCAGCACCAGTCTGAAGTGGATCTGATGTTTACTACAGCGGTACCTCTGGTTACGTACTTGCCGTATTTTTCGCCCTATAGGACGCACCGTCCCATAAGGTGCACCTAGTTTTTTTGGGCGGAAATAAAGGGGGGGGATTATTTCCCCCCCCCCCCAGGCGTGGGGCTGGGGCGGGGGAAGGCCAAGCTTCCCCCAACCCCAGCCCCCAGAACAGGCAACTCTCCGTAAGCTGCGGGAGCCCAGCCCCGGGCTCCCGCGCCTTGCGGAGAGCTGCGCGAAGTCTGGGCACACTGAGCTCAACGCGCCCAGCCTTCGGCATGCAGGCAACTCTCTGCAAGCCGTGGGAGCCCAGCGCGGGCTCCCACGGCTTGCGGAGATCTGCGCGAAACCTGGAGAGCCAGAGGGGTCGGTGCGCGCCGACCCTCTCGCTCTCCAGGCTTCAGCGAAAGCCTGCATTCGCCCCATAGGACGCACACACATTTCCCCTTCATTTTTGGAGGGGAAAAGGTGCGTCCTATGGGGTGAAAAATACAGTAATTCATTCCGGAGGTCCGTTCTTAATCTGAAACTGTTCTTAGCCTGAAGCACCAGTTTAGCTAATGGGGCCTCCCGCTGCCATCGTGCCACCGGAGCATGATTTCTGTTCTCATCCTGAAGCAAAGTTCTTAACCCGAGGTAATATTTCTGGGTTACCTGGGTACCTGAAGTGTATGTAACCCGAGGTACCACTGTACGTACATGCATTTTTTTCTACTACTACTACTACTAATAATAATAATTGTATGCCACCAATCTGACTTGGTTGCCCTAGCCACTCTGAGCACCTTCTAACAGAATATTAAAAACACAATAAAACTTTCATAAATTGCACATAATTTTGTGTTTTAAGATGGTATTTCCCTCTCTCTCCAAATGACATGGCTGTTTTATCAGCCAAATTCATCTGATCTTCATTAGTGCAAGGGCTTCTGTCAGAAGTGCCTCAAAACACATGATAATAACAACTTTGGTTCAAACTTTACATTTCTTAGAGCTGGTGAGCTAGCAGAAGCTAGTGCAAGGACTCTTATTAGTTCAGTGGAACTTTCCCTCAAGCACCAAGATTCAGGACTCTGAAAAAATACCAAATAGCTCAAGAGATATAAAACGTTGTAAACATCAGTAACGCCACACTGCAATGGTGGTATTAGAAATGTAATGGTTGGGCTAAGCTGTAGAAGTTTTAGAATGTTTTGTTAAAGAATTTGGGAACTTGGTTGTATTGTCTTTATAAGTGACAAATGTGCCTGTCTTCCTTGAGTTGAGGAGCATTGGTTACTTCATTATTCTTGTGTCTGACAGAATCAGAAATCTCAGCATATACTACTGGAGGAAAAACCTGTGCAATAGTTGAACAGTTTTCATACACCGGACTTCCACCATCTTGTTTTTGCAGGATTCTTTGGAGCTACGTGCATTGGTATTTTTATAGCCAGTTCCGCAGGACGGAACCGGCTATGAAAGTATTAAAACTGTTTTACAATGTAGTCAACAGTGTGTCTACTAAAAGGAAATATTTTGCAAGAAATTTGTAGTGTGTACACTTAGAAGAACATGGTTTTGGTTTTTTGAACATAGAATCAGTTTACTATCTCTTCTAGGTTGAAACCCGTGAAGATGAAGAGCAAAGTATTAAGCTGAGTGAAATCTTAGAGCTGCTGGTGGCAGCTGGATACTTCAGGGCAAGAATTAAAGGGCTGTCCCCCTTTGACAAGGTGAGAGTGTAACAAATTATGCACAAGGCATGCTTTAATTGGTAAAAAAAAATAATATCAGCAAGGGCTAATTTGTACAGACGAGTACAAATGTTATCCAGATGGTTGTGAATTAACAGTGCAATTTTAAAGGTGTTTTTTATAAAAATGAATCTCTTTTTATATGTGTTTCATTGCAATTTGCAAAGATACCATAAAAACAGCTAAAATAGTTCAAAAACTGACAGAATGTGCAATCAGCATAAGCATTGTTGCTTGCCGGAGGGAATAAACCTCCCTCTCCTCCAGATGTTTACTGTTTGGAGGTTCCCCTGAGCACCCCAGGCCGATTTTGTGGGGTTCTGTGGGTGATGGAGAGGATTGCCCAGTGTGAGTGGAAGCCCTTATACAGTGCCCAAGAGCACTGCCAGGAACTGGTATTCAGAAGCAGTACTACCTCCAGCTGACACTAGAGGCAGAACATAGCCATCGTGAAAATGTGACATTGGGGGGCTATCTTTTGTGTTTCATTTTTAAATAAATGCACAAGATGCTTCTGTGTAACTTCTGCGTTCTTCCACCAAACATCTGCAAGGGATAAAACGAGTGTGCTTGCCTTGTTCTAGGTGGTAGGCGGCATGACGTGGTGCATCACAACATGCAGTTTCGACATTGATGTGGACTTACTGTTTCAGGAAAACTCTACCATCGGCCAAAAAATGTAAGTGGGAGCTTGCCAGAAAGGGATCTTTCTTTCCAGTTGTGCAATGTGTTCAGTACCAGTCATATTTGTAATTGAAGCTTGCATAAGTGGTCACCTGAGCCTTAAGAATTATTATTATGTATTGAATTTCTATACCACCCTTCATCACAGGGTGGTTTACAATATAAAAACACAAAACTTGCATACCATTATAACTAACAATAAACTGCAATTTAAAAGGCCGTCATTTGTTTAATTAGCCAAAGGCCTGGGAGAAGAGGAATGTTTTTGCCTGGTGCCTAAAGATATGTAATGAAGGAACCAGCCAAAGCTCCCTGGAAAGAGCATTCCACAAGCACGAAGCCACTGCAGAAAAGACCTGTTCTCATATTGCCACTCTCTTGACATCTTATGAAGGAGTCACACGAAGAAGGGCCTCAGAGAATGCTTGCAGGGTCTGGTTTGGTTCATATGGGGAGAGGCGGTCCTTCAAATCTGCTGTGCTCTCTATTTTTTGGTCTTACTGCCCCTGATGTGCCCTCCCAGTAATATAATCTCTTCTCATCCTAAACCTGAAAGCAGCCATGAAAATAAAGTGAAATGTTTAAGTACAGCAGGAACATGTAGAAGCCCACACTTACTTTCTGCTGCCTCCTCCTTCTTTTTGCACTATTTAAATGTTAGGACTTTTAAATAAACAGTGACAATTACAGTCGTGCCTTGGAAGTAGAACGGAATCCGTTCGGGAAGTCCATTTGACTTCCAAAATGTTCAGAAACCAAATTGCGACTTCTGATTGGCTGCAGGAAGCTCCTGCAGCCAATTGGAAGCCCCATCGGACGTTCAGCTTCCAAAAATAGTTCGCAAACTGGAACAGTCACTTCCTGGTTTGCAGCGTTCGGGAGCCAAAACGTTCAGGAACTAAACTGTTCCAAAACCAAGGTATGGCTGTAGAGTGTTTCTGTTAACACATGAATGTCTTAAACTGTTGTTACTTTACCATGTGCTACCTTGGGAAGCTCAGAACTGATTAGATTTGTGTCCCATTGGCGCACTGGATCAAATTCACACTTGCTTAGCTTCATTCTAGAATAAGGTAATCACAGACCATTCCCTGGACTGAAACTGAAAACATTTTATGAAGTAAAGATGGATTGTTTGATAAGAAGCTTTTAACAACAGGTTTTTAAAAAAAACAACCTTGAATTTTTTTTCCAGTGTGTGTTTTTAATAAGAGTTTGCAAGCTTGATAAAGATGTTTAAAAAAGAAGTGCCTCCAGTCCTACAGATCAGCATTTATCAGGACAGTTCTAAATTGCTTTGTGTATTCACTTTTTAAAATCTAATATTTGATTTCAGCCACTAGAGGGCAGTTTCAGGCTAGTTAAGGCTTTGCTTCCACCCAGTTTCACCTTAAGCTCTGTCATCCTTCACCTTCTTTCCAGTGCCTTGACTGAGAAAATTGTATCTGTCTTGCCGAGAATGAAATGCCCTCATCGCTTGGAGCCTCATCAAATACAGGGATTGGATTTCATCCACATATTTCCTGTTGTGCAGGTAGGTGCTCCTTGAAAAGTTGCTCCCCGCAACACCTCCGTATAGTAGGCCTGCTGATGAAAAACCATATTGTAACCCTCTTTCTCTCTCATGGTCATGGAAAAGCAGGAATTGGAGTTTCATACAGCCCAGTCCAGGTGTCTCCAGATGTTGCTGGACTATAGCTCACATCATCCAAAGTATTGACTATACTGGCTGACAATGTTGGGAGCATCAGAAGGACGACATATTGGCCACTCCTGCCTCTAGTCCCTGTGAGGCAGAGTTGGCCTCATGAAGAACAGATTAACTCACACTGTTCAGAGGAAAAGCACAGCAAAGGCTGAGTGAAACATGCCAGAAATATCTACAAGTGAGAAAAACAAGGGCCTAACCTGTCTTCCATCATATTTGTGTTCTTTCAACATGTTTAGCCTCCTAATAACCCTTTGAGGTAGGCTGAGTTGAAAGGGAGTGGCTGGGTCAACATCAGCCACAACAGCTGGTCAGAAATTTAAATCCTGGGTTGATATTCAACTGAGTTTTACTTGAAGTAGACCTATTGAAATTAATGGACCCAACATAACTATGTCCTTTAATTTCAGTGGTTTTATTCTGTGTAACGCTTAGCTGAATCTAGTCTCAGTCAGACACACTAATCTTTTATGTCATGCTGAGACTCAGTGGGTTTTCTGTTTCTTGGTTCAGATGATGAACATGCACTGATGCCCATGTTCATTGTCTAAATGTTTCAAAATATGAAAGGTAAGTAGCTGTAATAACTGTAGCCCTTTGTTTATAGAGTGTTGATTTTCCTTATTTTTTATTCCCTTTTTGATATCCAAGTCTGTCCTGAGTATATATATCCATCCAAGGTGTTGCTTTAAGGGTTTCCCTTTTTCTTTTCTCCCAGTGGCTTGTGAAACGTGCAATAGAAACCCGTGAAGAAATGGGAGATTACATCCGCTCATATTCTATATCTCAGTTTCAGAAGACACACAGTCTGCCAGAGGTAAATGTTTGGCTGCGTCTTTTGTAATTCAGAACTAGAAGTGATTCTTTTAACCGTCTGTAAAACGGATAGGATTGATGCAAACCTGCACCAGCTGATTTGGCTCATAGGTTTTAGGACATAAGCGGATAGATCACACGTTATGAGCTGGCACTGGAGCAGAAAATATGAGTAGAGTAATTCAGTCCAACTCCTTAAGTATTAAATGCCCAGTTGCGCATCAAAAAAGGTAGATGAATTTGCAGTGCATCCAAGTGCAATCATCGGATGCTCTGGGAAGCTGTTCTTGACACAAGTCACTTTTTTCTTGTAAGATCTTTCTCACAAAATTGTATTTGAATATGTTTGTGCAGTGGCAACACAAACCTACACTGTGCAAGCACCAAAACGTTTCCCATTCTTAAAAATACGTTGCCCACCTATTCTTAGTGCAGAATGAGCCATTCCTTGAGAAGGAAAGTCCAGGTGTATTGTTTCTCTGTGATTAAAAGGTGATTGGCAGTTGATAATGCTATACCTTAACATGACAGCTGCCCACTGAAATAAAATAGTTCATTATTATTTTTTTTAGGCTGTGTTTTGGGGGTTTTCACTCACGTTGTTGAAAGTTCAACTTACGATTCTTGCATCTCCCTGTGTAGGTGCCTTTCATTACTTGTGCAGCTGCAAACTAGTGAGCATCTTTCTCTGCCTCATTTGTCAATAAATGGAAAGTGATGTTAAAGGTGCCAGTGCTGGAAGATCCTCTGAATTTTTCTATCTGATGGGCCAAGTTCCTGCTAATGTTTTACTATTAACACCATATGTCTAAGATGTAAATTGCATTGTGGAGCTTAGCCCTAGGTAAAGTAGGTAGGATTGCAGCTTCAGTAGTGTGGTTTATGTAGCCTGAGGCTGTTCCTGGTTCCCACCTTTAAAAGTTGCTGCAGAGGTGCAGAGTACCTGTTTCCAGCTCTGGTTGGTTCTTCAGCCACAGCCATTCCTGGATTGAAGTAATCTGACCACAGTAATCCATGCTTTAGTAATTTCCCAATTAGACTTTTGTAATATGCTCTACAAAGCAGAGACATCACCTTACCAACAAAGGTTCGTATAGTTAAAGCCATGGTTTTCCCAGTAGTGATGTATGGAAGTGAGAGCTGGACCATAAAGAAGGCTGATCGCCGAAGAATTGATGCTTTTGAATTATGGTGCTGGAGGAGACTCTTGAGAGTCCCATGGACTGCAAGAAGATCAAACGTATTCATTCTTAAGGAAATCAGCCCTGAGTGCTCACTGGAAGGACAGATCGTGAAGCTGAGGCTCCAATACTTTGGCCACCTCATGAGAAGAGAAGACTCACTGGAAAAGACCCTGATGTTGGGAAAGATGGAGGGCACAAGGAGAAGGGGACGACAGAGAACGAGATGGTTGGATAGTGTCTTCGAAGCTACCAGCATGAGTTTGACCAAACTGCGGGAGGCAGTGGAAGACAGAAGTGCCTGGCATGCTCTGGTCCATGGGGTCACGAAGAGTCGGACACGACTAAACAACAAATATGCTCTACATGGGGCTATCCTTGAAGACCGTTTAGAGAGGTGCAAAATGTGGCAACTGGGTATTGATTGCCACAGAAAGATCTTCACTGATTATTTGCTACCATGTCCAATTCAAAGTGCTGTCCATGGAGGCTCAGGTCAGTTCTGTGTCCAGGGCAGCTGTCTACCAGATCCACCTGGTATATGGGCTGAGACCCTACCTGCCCATGGACTGTCTCACCAGAGTAGTGCATGCCCTGGTTATCTCCTGCTTGGACTACTGCAATGTGCTCTAAGTTAGTCTACCTTTGAAGGTGACTCAGAAACTACAATTAATCCAGAATGCATCCGCTAGACTGGTGACTGCGAGATGCCGCCGGGACCATATAACACCAGTCCTAAAGGATCTTCACAGGTTCCCAGTACGTTTCCGAACACAATTCAAAGTGTTGGTGCTGACCTTTAAATCCCTAAACAGCCTCACCCCAGTATACCTGAAGGAGCATCCTCCTCCAAGGGTCTTCTGGTTCCCTCACTGCAAGAAGCGAAGTAACAGGGAACCAGGCAGAGGGCCTTCACAGTAGTGGCACCCTCCCCGTGGAACATCCTCCCTTCAGATGTCAAGGAGATAAAGAGTTACACAACTTTTAGAAGACATCTGAAGGCAGCCCTGTATCGGGAGGCTTTTAATGCTTGATTTTTTGTTATGTTTTTAGAGATGCTGTAAGCCACCCAGAGTGGCTGGGGAAACCCAGCCAGATGGATAGGGTATAAATAAAATAATATTGATGATGATGATAATGTAAATATGTAAACAAATTAATACCCAGCTACCTGAAGGTGTGTGCCTCCTGATATATTCCTCCGCGTTATCTGAAGTCTGCCAGGTAAGCTTGGTATGGTCATCAAACAAAGCCTTGAGTTCCCAAACTTGGAATAGGACTTTGTCAGTGGTAGCCTCCTAGCTGTGTAACATGAGATTAGGCTGGAACCTACATTAATCAGTTTTCTTCACCAGCTTAAAACATATTTGTAAAAATCTGTCAGGCCTTCTGAAGTGTGTACATGGCCCTTGATTGCTTGTATTCTGCTGAAGGATTAGTTGTATTTTTTGGTACATTTTAACATCACAGCTTTGGACAAGTTGACACAACAACTGGCCAATCTTTGTTGACACTGTTGAGGTTAAATATGTTTGTATGCTGGTATTTAAAGCTATCTAAATTGCTTTGCAGGATGATGACTTCATGCAAAGAAAAGAAAAGTCTGTCAAAGCAGTTAGTGAAATCTCTGTAAGTGTGGCATTCAGCAGTGTGGGTTTTCAGAAAATTTACAAATAAATAATAATTGGATTTTGCGTTGTTTTGATTATGTATATATTTTGGCTTTAATTTACTCCCCCTTCCCTTTTAAAGATGCATAGACCATGTTTGTATGATATATCTGCATACCTGCTTCCTGGGGATAGTAACTTTTCTTCAAATGAATTGCAACTTCAAAGGTGCTCAGTTTTATCCATTGTGGTATCCATTCACTACATTCCTAGTTAGTTTTTATAAAAGAATTCATTTTTAGAAATTGATCTCCCCTGGGGTTCATGGCGGTGGGGAGGGGGCTAGAAAATGTTTCATCCCACATCATTGGTAACACACTAAATGAGAATTTTCTGGTCAAGTTGTGGAATGCCAACAACAATCCCAGCACTTTGGCATATACAGCCCTCAAATGACTCTCTCTGCTAGGTTAGTACAAGTGGCAGCCCTAGTTAGAGTCTGTATTTGAGTCGGGTTCAAGTTGAGTCAGAAACACGATATTTTAAAGCTGCATTCTTGGACACATTAACTAGAGGATAAGCCCCATTGAATATATGTATATTTTTGTATAAATACGTGTGTTTATTTATGTAAAAAAAACCTGCCGAAATAATCAGGAACACCATGAAACATTGCAACTCTACCGCATAGGAAAATGTGTACAGTGTTGTGCAATAAATCAGCTCCTTTCCTACCTGCAGAGGGTTTACTGTGTCAGGATTTTATTTCTCTGTTCCTTTAGATTGCATTGCTCCATTATAATACCATATTAATTTTAGTTGGAGCTGCCATGTGGCTCTTGGAGGCTTGATAGATTGATATCCCATTGTGCTCATCTTTTGAATACCAGCTCTGTGTATTCCTTCCCTTGTCTCTCTTTGTCCGGTGCAATGTCACTTTTAAAATGCCACACAAAACAGAACGTTGCGCTGCTGTGAATTCGGAAACGCGGGAGTTTGAATGGATTCCGTTGCATCTCAACTGATGTGCTATAGTTGAAAAAGATTTCCCACTTGCAAAACTGCCAACATTGATCAAAACATTTTTAAAAGAAAAAAGGAAGGAGGGTAAAAAGCTCTTGACATATCTTCCTCTGGCAGAGTCAACAGAGTAGAGAAGCCAAGTCGTGGAAACAATGATCTCGTTTGTCATTGTATCTCAGGGAGAGTAAACTGCCTTTGTCATTGTGTCTGGAAGAAAGTGTGGAATGTCATCTGAAGGCACTGCTTTTTCTGAGAGTTCTTCTTAACAAAGAGTGTCTGGCATTGATGCTTCTTTCTTTTTAACTGTAGCCATGTACAAGAACAACTTGGCTGTATTGAAGCATTGCTTTTTAAAAAGGGGGGGGGGAGATTTCCTTGAACTTAGTTCAGCAACTTTTTTTTCTTGCACATTCTTACCACCACCCCAATTATGTTAAATCGATTTTCTTTTCCTATGTGACTGGCTAAAGTAGCCATAATGAAGAGAGTAGTAATTAAGCATAATTATTCAATAAGAGGCTAGAAGTGGAATGCATGAACACTAACCGCAGTGACTCGGAATTAATCATCTCTTTAATTATGCATAGTATTTTTTTCCCTTACTTTGTTTAAGATGTTTTGCAGATATGTCTGAGATCACGTTGAATAGATTCATATGTTCTGGAGTAGCCATGTTCTTAATAATAGTAATAATAAGCTAGGAAAGTGCAAAAGGGAGGGGGAGGGGTGAGTCTAGGTCAATGAGCAGCCAGTGAAGGATATTATGTTATGACAGACTGTGTTGTGTTGTATTATGGAGCCACAAAAGCCCTGAGAAGGTCCAGGTAGGAGGTTTCTATGGAGAAAGAATGTTGACATTGGATTGCTTACTGACCATTTGTAGTTTGACACATGTTTATGCTCATTTTGTTGGCTTTCAGGAAGTTTACAAGCCACAAAGGAAATACCAGCGACGAGCAGGAGCAGAAAAGTTAGTCGACGAGGAGTCTAAAGTTCATGCTACGCTTCTGGAATATGGCAGGTATATTCATTTTGTTAAAGTGTGTTCCAGGGAACCCAGGATTTCTTGGGGGCATCTGAAGGATTCCAATAATGGCAGACAAAAGATCTGAAAGACAGCATGCTGTGGCTCTCTCTTCCCTGTAGGCAGATGCAGGAGAACCTTAAATGTCTTCTAGGGGCCAACTAAGAAGTATAGTGTAGCTTTGCTGTTGCTGCTGTTTCACTTTTTTTGCAAATTATCAGGCTAGGGGACCCATTCCGGAACTGTACAGTGAGGGGTAGGGGAGCTTTTAATCTTTTGCCACCCATTCTCACTAGCTACAGTTTGCATCACCAGCAAAGGCCCCATATGTTTAGATGGAGCCTTCGTTGGCTATGGAGTTGCAGGGGCCCTGATTCTGATTGGGAAGGAAAAGGCTAAAGCCCTCTATGCTCCATGCTAGGTTCATGATGGGGGTGGGGGGTGCTAATCACGTATGCCATCTTGAGCTTGGAAGAAAGGCAGGATGGTAATGTAATTAATCATGCCGTCTGCTCAAGTTCTTGGGGGAAAATGTTGCTCCACAACACATTTAAGTGTCAAAAGACTCTGGGTTAGTGACAGCAGATTTCCATAGCTACTCTCCTGGAATAATCTAAGTGTGTACAGAGCACAAAAGCAATGTGTTGCTTGCCACAAATAACTGGTGAAATGGTTATAATATAAAATGTATTGACATTTTGATTCACTAGCTTTTCCACTGCAGTTCTTTAGTCATACAGGTGGTTTGCACACTTACAATAAGCCTAAGTGTGTTTGAAACTGTGGCCTAAGTGTGTCTTCTACTCCCTATGGCAAGCCAGATCACTTTTTCAAGTTCTTCATCTTTTTGTTTTCCTATCCCCCCTCTTTAGTATCACTGGTTATTTCTTGTGAGTATTTTTCCTCCTGTGTACATGTGGTGTGGATCCCCCCCCCCTTCCAGTTGGCTCTTGGCACTTGAATTTGCATCTTTCACGTTAACATGTCTTCCACATTTGGTATTTAACAGCATTGTTAAATTAATGTTCACGGGGACTGTCTTTTTTTCTCAGTGCAAAAGTCACAGTTTTCTCTAGGGGCTAAGGGGTGAGAGAGAAGAGTGCATAGGAAAAAAATCCCAACTTCCACTCTTTTCGCATACTCCCCAGGAAAATAGGTTCCTAGCTGTTACCTCCCTGATCTGCTGCTCCTTTATATGTAAATATTTTAAAGGACTCCTTTATCACGTGAACCCAGCTGATCTCAGACGGCAGTATCATGGAGCCTAGAGTGATTTTACGTGGCTTCGTTAGTTACAACAAATACAGTGGTGCCTCGCAAGACGAAATTAATCCGTTCCGCGAGAGTCTTCGTCTAGCGGTTTTTTCGTCTTGCGAAGCAACCCTATTAGCGGCTTAACGGATTAGCGCTATTAGCGGTTTAGCGGCTATTAAAGGCTTAAAGGCTTAGCGGATTAGCTGCTAAAAGGCTATTAAAGGCTATTAAAGGCTTAGCAGGTTAGATAAAGGGGCGAAAGCGAAAAAAATCTCAAGACTTGCAAGACATTTTCGTCTTGCGAAGCAAGCCCATAGGGAAATTCATCCTGCGAAGCAACTCAAAAACGGAAAACCCTTTCGTCTAGCGGGTTTTCCGTCTTGCGAGGCATTCGTCTTGCGGGGCACCACTGTATAGCAGCCATTGGTATATAGCAGTCTACAGAACATAAGGCTAATCCCCTTTCAAAGCCATCAAAGTTGGTAGCCACAGTTTATAACTGCACTGTGAAGGACTTTCTGTAGACCATCCATCAGTTAGCTTCAATGGACAACCTTGGGGTCTAGTGTTATATGAGAGAGAGGGGAACACTCACTCTATCACCATGCCCACTTTTGCCACATTGTGCATGGTGTTCGAACCCTCATATCAGTTCCTGCCCTGCCCTGCCCCTTACTTAGCTTTTTCCCTGATCTAAAAAGCTCCAAATGTTGTGAACTTTTCTCATGGGAGAGAAAATTGCTCCAGCCAGCCCCTTTTCCTGCAACTTTCCCTTTTGCTGGGAATGGCTGTTCAGGTTTTCAGACTGGGTCCCCTGCACCAGATCAACCTGGAGAAGACAAGGACTGAACCTGGGACCTTACGGCATGCACAGCGTGCCTTCCTCAGTATCCTCTGCTTTATAGGTTGTGTAGCAGCATATTAAAACCTGGTTGCCTGAATGCAGTGGAACTACTCCCTAGTGGGAGAGTGAAATACAGCTGCAGCAGAAGGAGATGTTTAAACTAGAACTTCAGTGGAAAGGGCATATTCAGAGAAAGCAAATAAAGCTAGGGAGGGCTGGCAGATTAATGCCTTGGGGGGCAAAAGTGAAATGTTCTTGGAATTAAAACAGGCTTTCATTAGCAATTCAGCAACAAGCCTCGGAGCACCACTGTCATTAACGATAAGGCAACCCCCCTCCTTCCCCCCTTTCAGCCCCCCTGGAACCTGCTGTACTGCAGAGGTTTAGAATGCACTGGGAAGACTTTGATGATGAATTGCAGTGTTGCAACAGGAAAAATGGTTTACTTGTTAACGGCATATAAATTACAAAATGTACACTCAGAATAAAATGGTGAATATAACTAACCCCAAACTGCTGCTGCGGCTGCTGTCGTTTTTCTAAAAAGCACTGAGAGCTGGTCTTGGCATGTTTGCAAAAGCACATCTTCTGCAATGAAAGTGAATCCAGCTGCATATTCTGATTTGTTTCCCCCTCCCTTTTTACTTTTTCTAGGAGGTATGGTTTCAGCAGACAAGGGAAAATTGAGAAGGTAAGCTTGTTTCCTCATCTGGAATCCAGCTGAAAAAATATGTGTTGGACAAAAATACTAGACACCAAAGCAGGTTTATATATATATATATATAAGTGTGATGCAGCAATTGATTATTATTTTTCATAATATTGAAAACTACTTGTTTGCTTGTTCTTTCTAGGCCACCCAATCTTACTGTGTTGTGGTCACCACCCTGATGCTGCTGTATTCAACACATTGTGGGGGAACATTGCTAGAATTGTTCATGATCCTTTTCACTGTGGGTTAAATTCAGAGCCAGTTTGACTTTTGTCACTGCCTGTTCCAGACAAAGGGGCTCAGCAGTCTTTATTTTTGTTTTTATTTTTCAATGTTTGTAATTAGCCCTGCATGCAAGGATCCCAGGGTGGCACACTGTAAACATTAAAACCATTGCTAACAATAAAACTAAAACAAAAGTAACTCAGCATAATGCAGTTTAGCAATTCACAGGCAACAGAAAACAAACAAAGAAAACCCCTCTGTTATTGTTATTTTCTTGGGAACTGCTAGCAAGCATGATGTAGCCCAGTGGCGCCCTGCAAAGCAGTTTCAGATTGGCAGACTTTCAGCACACGCTGTTGGAAAGAAATGTTTCCTAACATTTCAAGCTACACTCTGGTTGGTGGGGGATGTGAGTTAAATTAGTATTAGAGAACGAAGAGCACTTCACCCAAGAAAGTTGCCAGTGAAGTTAATTAAGCCGATGGAGCTTATTTTCCGCTTGCAGAAATGTACATGCATTGCAATGTTGTGGAAGGCCCCAAAGTTCCATGCAGCAAGAATGCCGTTCCTAAAGCTGCATCTCACTCCCTTTGTTGACTTCTACAAAATATGGCTGCAACGCTTCATCATATCTTATTGACCTTGCATGCTTTTAGCCTAAGACTGTCAAATGCTTTCGTTAAAATTTAGCCACTGTGAGGGAAAGGAGGTTAGGAGGTCCTGTTCAGGATACCGTTCTCCTTCTTCTGGGCTTCATCCGATGCTATGCAAGAGGAGTTCTGCTCATGCGGCAAAACTTCCTCCATCCTCTTAGCTCCTGCACATGCCCAAAATCTGCTCTCAATGTCCTCCAGCCCCCTGGAGCAGATTTTGGGGGTGCTGGAGGGGCTGCAAGGGAGAGGAGGTGGGAAGTTAAATTGTACAAGCAGAGGTCTGCTGCATGAACAGAGCAGCAGTGTTGGATACATGCCTGTGTCTGAATTATTACTGTAGTGTGTTTTTAATGTGTCCATGAAAGGCTCTCTGGAGCCTTTCCTTATAATATATTCTGAAAGCATATGTTGTTCGTTTCCTTTTTTTTAATTCCGCCCCCCTCCCCGCCTTGTGATTTTGTAGATGCACATTTTCCTCTTAATGTTAGACAACATCCTTTTCTTCAATAGGTTGAAGACAAGAAAACGCTGCTGCCTGCTGGGCTTCCATCATCTGGGAAAGCTGATGCCTACACTGAAGATGACCTCCAAGCTGCAGAAGAGGTGGAATTCACTGATAATTTGTGACAAGGCTCAGTTCAGGGTTGCTACTTCCTACTACATGGAATGAAACAAAGCTGGTGGTTTAGAGGTTTCCCCCACTTCCCTTTTTGTATCTGTAGATTTTGCATTCTCAGAACCAACATGCGCTCTTACTTGAAATTGAGTTTGGTGCAGATACATAGTGCTACAAAATGCATGTGGTAGAGTTTTAGTGGTGCACTTGCCTTTCAGTAGATAGCTTTATTTTATGTATTGCATTTGTGTCCCGCTGTCCTCTAAACGTCTTATGGTGCCTTAAAATGGGATTAACCCTGCATCGAATACGGAAACTCAGCCATTCAAATGTGTGAGTGCTGTTGACAGCTGGTGCACCACATGTATATAAACTTGGGTATGTGCACATGTTTTCAAATAAAGTAAAGTGTGACTGTTCCAAGAAGAATGATGCTGTGAGGGCCTAAAGAAAAGGATGTTTTCTTTTGCTTTGTGTTTCACCAAAGTAGAGGAGCAGAGACTTCAGATTATTACACAGCATTTTGTGTTATGTTTGTTTGTGAATAAACAAGTGAGCAAAAGGGGGGGGGTATATCCATTGCTTTCTTACTAAGGAGCCATGTTTGCAGTAGCTCCCAGGCTGCCATCACAGTGTTGAGAAGGAGTTTTGTATGAAAAGGGGAGGGAAAGTGTGTGTATTTGTTTTGTTTTGCTAACCTCCAAGCCTTGTCACATTTTTTCTATAAATAAAAATTAAAACATGTGCTACATGTTTTGAAACAACTGTTCTGATCTCAGCACTTTTATTTTTCATCAGCTTCGTATTAAAACATTGATGACTGAGATGGCTGCAATGGGAACAGAAGAGGTAAGCAGTTCTGTTTGTTAGTCATAGTTTTTTTGGAAAAAAATATTATTTCAACCACTACTCTGGTATTATTAACAGGGTAGCACAGGCCAAAAAAAATTCTTTCCAGATATCACTCAATCTTGATTTCTTATATCTGAAAGTTCCCTTTTTCATGGGGCTATGAATTGAAACTGGAGTGAACTGCAATTCAGTAGAGAAAGAAAGGATGCATATTTCTCATTGCCTAGCTTCACTCTGTACCTATCAAGCAAACTCTGCAGTATATACAACTAAAGTTATTCACATCCCTGTTCTTTCCTCCTGCACCTGCAGATTGACTTGAAAGCTATCACAACCCATGAAATAGGGTTAAATGGAGTCAGGCTGCCTGAGGCCTTACATTGCAGTGTAAATTGACACAAGGAAAAGACTACTAAGCTTGAAAGGTGGTCTTTTTCAAAAGGTGTTTAGCCTTTGTTGGTTGTGTCCTTGCCTACAAAAAGCATAAGGAGAGTTATCTCTGCTTATTAAGCAAAGATACAGACAAGGCCTTTGACAGCTCACAGCCTTTACACTCCTCGCTTTGTGAAAAGAAGAAACAAATGAGGAAACTTCCAAAACTCCCAGTTCCCTTTTTTCTCCAAACCACGAAACTATGGTTTAATGCAGGGGTCCCCAAACTAAGGCCCGAGGGACTTGTTTATCCAGCCCGCAGCGACCCCTGCCACCACCGCCCGCTTTTACTGGTGCTGCACGGCTGCCCACTTCCGGGTCGGAGGAGCACCGGAAATAGCATGTGCGCAAGCGCAAGCGTTATTTCCAGTGCACATCCGGGTCGGAGGAGGCCCGTGCACATGTGCACAAGCTATTTCCAGTGCTCCTCCGACCCGGAAGTGTGCCGGAAATAGCGTGTGCACACACATATGGGCACGCACTCCCCCACCCTCCGGCCCACTGCGCGTTTGGCGCTGGAGACACCTGCCCAAGGCGCAGTAAGTTTGCTGGCCCCTGGTTTAACAGCTTCTCAACAAACCAGGCTGTTAAGACATAACTTAATATTTTTGCTGAAGACTTTCTGATTCGTTTGCTCACCAGCAGTAAGAGAAAAGTATTTCTTGCTCATCTTTTCTGTCTCCCAAGACTGCGGAACCTTTGAAGAGCCTTCTCATTTGGCTAGGTTCTAATGGAGTCCACTATCATCCTGTACACAATTTTTTTCCTGCTCCCCTGCCCCACAGCACACATACCTCAGCAAAGCCAAGGTCTTCGTTCACTCATAGTAATGCTTATCACTTCTATGCACACATGCAAACTTCCTGCATTCAGTGACCAGCAGATGTCACTCAAATTCTCTTCCCACCTGGCTCATTTGCACGGTGCCTCATCTACATACACAGCCCTTTCTTCCATTCTTGGGATATGAGTCCAAAATGTTCCTTATCTCTCAAATATACTTTAAGCAAGGAAACTTCATAGCAAAGCAGCAGCAATTCTTGTGTTCTGACTTGATGTAACTGAGCCAATGGCATGGAAGCCTTGCTAAGGTAGCAAATGTTGTCCTGTTCCCGTTCCTATAGCCGGATTTTATGATGAGGGGGAAAAGGCTTGCTAGCTGATGCCCACTCTTCCAAGTATCTCCCCACTGCCCCGGCCAGTTCTGCTTGCTTATTCTCCATCCAAGCCTTGCTGCTTTCATGGAGGACAGTGGTACTTCTTCATGGAAACAGACATTGCATTTACATCAATTCAAACTGCCCTGCTTTTTCAAAAAGCTATGTCATGTGCCTTCATAAGACGTGTGTTCTACTTTCAGGGCAGACTGACCGCAAGCACTGTAGGGCAGATAGTTGGACTTCAGTCTGATGAGATCAAGCAGATAGTATCAGAATATGCTGAAAAGGTAGGTGATTTTTTTAAAACTGTTTTAAGAAAACCATACCTGAGCAATTGCCTATTAAGTCTTCAAATTTTGAAGCTTCAGTTTTAAAATATATATTCTTTAGAACAATATCTACAATAGTGATGCTAGTTGGTGTGCCAATGCTTCTTTGTGCAGGCATACAGATCTGTGCTGTCATCAATAAAAATCAGATCCCTGTGTCTCTGTGTCTTCTAAACAAGTAGCTAAAAGTTGCATATGACTTTGTAGAGGAATAGTTTCTCCCACGTCCTTGTGCGCCATGAAACAGTGTGTGAAATTTTACAGCTGTAATATATGGAGCTATTCGATGTCGTGCTATGTTGATCATTCAGTCAGACCAGATGGAGCAATTCTCCCTCTCCTTCCCCCCACCAGGGAGCTGTTTTGGGGGTCCTCCTGACACACACACACACACACACACACACACACACCCAGGCCAGTTGTGAGGGAGCAGAGGAGGATAAACCCCATTGCTCAGGTGGAGGACCTTGCCTGGGCTTCCACCGATGGGGTGCATTATTTGAATTTCACCCATAGTTGTTGGAGTCAAGCTGTGTTTTGTTTGCAAGAAGACAAACCCTCCCATCCTGATTTCTTCCTCTTTATCTATTTCCTCAGCCCATTCCTCTTACCTTTCTGCTAGTTATAGGTTTTTTTGAAAATCTGGCTTGGCTATTTTGGGCTTTTATAATAGATTTCCTGTCAGTGCACAATGAAGATTGCTTAAAGCAATGGTGTGTGTTTGTGTGCCCTTGAGTTTAGTGGTTACTATAGAGCAGTCACTTAATTACGTCTTAAATTCAGGAAGGTCAGGCTTTCCTGGTTGTACTTGGGTCTAAAGAGATGAGTGATGTGTTTGGGAGGAAAAGGAGAAAGATGCACATAGTCTTGCATGAATTGAGAGGGAATTATGCAGTTGCAGTGTTTAGGCTTAGAATCTGGAATCTGTGCCTGAATCGAGAGGCTCTTAGGGAAAAGAATATAGTTTCTAACTTTGGTAGCAGTTTTAAAATGTTTAAAGTGCTTTACCATTCTCATATTGGCTATTTCCCCTGATTTAAATATACCAACTACTTGGGGACTCCTTTTGGGATTCTTTTTGACAGTATATAACTAATAAGTTAACTGTGTTAACTTTAACAGTGTTATGGGAATGGAAAGAGTTTCATGCATGGGGATGTTGAACAGTTGTGAGAGCAAATAAGGGCAGGGGGTCAAGTGCCTTGCACATAAAGTACCTTACAAATTGCAGAACCACCTGCTCCCACAAAAATTAAATAGTCTTTTTTTCCATTTTGGAAATAAATGTCCACCCTGAGATCTTCAGATGAAGGGTGGTATATAAGTTTAAAAAATAAAATTAAAATGCTTATTTTTCTGAAATAGAGTTAACTTTGTTTCTATTTTCTGGCACCTCATTGATCTGCTACTTTTTCTCTTCAGTTGACAAATGAATGGCAAGTTTAAAAGAACTTAGGTGGGTGTTCGTAGCATCTGCTGAATGTTTTAATTGACAAATTTAAAAACAATTCCTGGGTTTTGCCATCCATCTGTGAATGCAATTTTGTAGTATGCAAGAGAATTTTCAACTAAATGTTTATGATCTGAAGATAACAGAATGTGTCGGCTCTCACTTAAAACTGCTACACGTCTAGTGTGGTTTTGAAAATAAATTACTTTAGTAGAAACCTTTTGGACTTCAATTTCAAGCAAGAGCCAAGAAGCTTCAGTTGTGTTATAACATATGTCTTCCATAGCCCTACTTGCTATACCTCATGTTTCAGTTCGTAAATAGCACAAATAGATGATATTGTTCAAAACTTTGTTTTAACAGGTCAGATGTTATATCCTTCTTTCAACAGAATGTTTTTTATGAGTACAAAGGAAAAATAAATCACGGAGCAGTGGCTTGCAGCAAAAACTGCAAAAAAGTTGTTGTTATTTTTAAATGGATAACTGTTGTATTTTACTGACTGGACTTAACCGTCCAGGGGTCCTTTACCTTTACCTTTTACCATACCAGACTGCTCTGGACTCCTGCGGGTGAAGGAGCATTACAGAAATAATCATAATCATAATCATATTAATCATGATCAAAATGATCTTGATTGCTGCCTTCCACATTTGTTGTATTTTTCCATGAACATAAAACACAAAATGAGGTAGCAGCTAAATACAGTAATTAAATTCCAGTCAATTTATGTGTGCAGGGAGAATTAGTCTTGCAGCATAGTCTATCTGTGTTTACTTTGAAGTCAGTCTAGTGGCAGTCAGTGGCAGGGGAGATTCCCAGTGCCGGGCGAACATTGCTCCCAGTTACGAAGAGGGTGAGAGACAAAGAGGTAGGAAACTTGGCATGGTGCTCGGCGTCGGTAAGTGCCCACTACAGAGTCAGCCCCATTGGTTTCAATGGGACTTAAGTACACTTAACATTGCAGTCCAGTCCTGGGAAGTTGGTGCTGAAATTCAAAGTAATGCTGCGAATTCTCACCCCATCCCCATATAATGATGTGCTGTTGAATTTTAACAGTATTATCCACCTGCCCTTTGCTCCCAGCACCGTATCTCTTTCTAGGATGGAGGAAATGTGTTGAGTCAGCCTTGCGGGTCAAAGTGGAACATGCCCAGTTCCCCTCACATTTCTGCCTCCAGAAGAGCTCTGCCAACTTCCACACTTGCTTACTCCCTGTAATGCAGGACATGCAAGCATCCAGACCTCTGCACACTTGTATGCGGCTGCCCAGTGGTTTATGGAGCAGTCTTAATGCACAGATTAGGCAAGTAATGATTCCTGTGCGTCTGACAAAGTGCTGAGGGGGTGTTCCATTCATTGTGTCCTCTCCCCGCCCCATCTTTTTCTAGCAATCAGGACTTTCTGCAGAGGAGCGTCCAGAGAGACTTGGAGCTGCCCAGCAGCACAGAAGGAAGGTGGCATCTTTAAACAAACAGATCTTACAGAAAACCAAGCAACTGGACGAAGTATGTGGGGATTTGTTGTTGTTGTTCCCTTATTTTAAGGGTTTGTAAACCACTTTGCCACTCTGCACTTATGGAGAAGATTATAACTTCAGCATCCATTTAGGAGAATTACAATATGAGTAACCTGGGTCTTAATAAGCATTGGTTACGTGGATTTTTTGCACATAAGTTGTAGGGTTTGTACATAAGTTTGCACACTTTCCTTGATTGTCTCTACGGAAGCAACAGGTGCTTACTGACTGCCAGCAATTCCGAATTAAAGCTGTGAGCTGTGTTTATGTACAGGCAAAGGCAGCATTTAAATTCTCCACTGTCAGAATATCAAATGTTGAGGTCAGACAGGTGCCCTCCCTGTTCTACTCCCAGTGCCTACTAGGGATTCTTAATTCCAGCAGGTTTTTTTAATTATATTCTGATATTATAGTTTTAACTCATTTTAGACTTACTGTATTATACTGGATCTCCTGCACACTGCTCAGAGACAACCGTGATTAAGTGTACTATAAATTGCTGAAATAAATAAATAAAAATAGTTGGCATTTAAAGCTGCACAGAATTGCATCGTTAACAGAATCTTTCAAAGGAGTTGTGATTCTTTTTCTTTTTCTTTTCCAAATGCTGGAAGGTCCACAAATCATAGAATCAAAAGAGTTGGAAGGGGGACCATCAGGATCCTCTAGTCCAGCGGTTCTCAACCCGTGGGTCCCCAGATGTTGTTGAACTACAACTCCCATCATCCCTGAGCTCTGGCCTTGCTAGCTAGGGGTGATGGGAGTTGTAGTTCAACAACATCTGGGGACCCACAGGTTGAGAAAGGCTGCTCTAGTCCAACCCCCTGCAGTGCAGGAATATGCAACTGTCCCATGTGGGGATTGAACCTGAGAATTTGGTGGCACCATGCTCTTACCAACTGAGCTATCCAGTCCTTAGCTCCTGTAAACATTACATTGGTGCTCACTTGGCTGCTGCTAACATTATTGTTTTGCCTGTCAAAATCTTTGCGGATTCGCTGATTTAATTGCCTTCTGTTCCGTTCTATCTGCCATTCCTCCCCACCCCCTTTTGTACTTTAAGGAAGCCAAATGGAATACAATTTCCTAGAATCAACCTGGTTTTTTCTAATATACGTGTTCTCCTGAGTTATATTTCCTGATGCTTTTCCAATATTTGTGCATCATGTCAGTGAATTTTATTTAAAGATGAACTGCGGTGTCAGCTACGATCCAGTAAAGGCTCCCACCAAAGAAGGGTGGGGGGATGATTTTCACTTAATTTCCACCAACTGTCCCAAGTGCCACCTTCCATATTGTTGACGAGAGTCCCCTGAAGCCCAGAACAGTTTTTGGAGGGTACAGGCCTGTTGCAGGAAGTGAAAGCCAGCAAAAAAGGCCTATCTCATGCACAAATTTCCTCCAGTGGAGCATTCTGTAAATGGAGTTCCTCCCACACTATAATTCATCTGTTGTTGTTCTTCTAAATCCAGATGTTTTGATCCAAAAAAAAGGGTATCCTGGAACTGCTACATTCCGTTCTTGTTCAGCTGATAGCTGTCCAGAGAGCTTTGTTGATATATACATAAATACATGGGTGTAAACTTTATCTCTCACACATTACTTGCTTCTAAAACCTTCCAGACTCTCAAAGTGGAAATTTACTGTAAGTTTAGACCTCAGGAGAATCAGTGCCTTTGTTTTTTCTTTCTGTCCATGGATAAGCAACCGAAGGAAGCTATAAGAGACATTTTGCAATAATATACTGCAAGAGAAAATAGTTAAAATTATGGCCCTGTTCACGCTTAATGCTGAAACAGGAAACATTTCATCCATCTTGGAAGCACTGACACCTTGTGGACACCAGCCCTGCCTTATTTCTTCCAAATTTTCCTGTGTTGAGTGGGGGAAGTCTGAAGGGAGCTTCTACCCATGTTTGCTTGAAACCTCCATGTGATCAGAAACTCTTACAAAGCACCGCACTGTAGAGAAGAAAGAAGGACAGGAATAAATTTGCCAGTGCAGGGACAAGCAAAGAACCTCAAAGGTGCACAAAATTAAGATTGATTCAGCCCAACATGTTTAGGTTTAAAGAATTTGCCTGGGGCATTGTAAAACAAATGTTATCCACCTGCTGCGTTGCTAATTGATTCCTCGGGACATAAAGCATGAATCTGGGAAGTGGGCATGAAATGTTTTTGGTAAAGAGGTTGTAAAATATTATCCTTTTTATTATGAATAGCTACAGTTCACCATGCAGTGTATATGGTTTGCATAGACCTATTTCTCAGATGGGGTGTTTCATAAGCAAAAGCCTCGTTTCTGAGGTTTCTCACTGCTACTTTTATAAATTTTCTTTACAATCCAGCCTGAGCAATGCTTCTGTAGATATTAGAAGAACCATTAAGTATAGTTCCAGCATGTTTCTTGGTGTGTATGTGTGTATACGCATGCCATTGTTAGGAAATGTTGCTGCCTTTGATTAAAATACCAGATTGGTGATCACTTAACTTGACTTTCCCCCGTGTTCTTCTTTTGAAAACAGTTGCAGGCAAAATGTGCTGACCTGCAAGCAGGATGTAGTGAGGCTAAGAAGAAATTGAATGAGGTAAGCTCGTTCTTCCCTTTGTCCTCCCCTCTTCTACTTAGACTGGTCTCTGTCAACTCTGTGTTGGCCAGATGCAAAAGAGGCCTCTACATCTAATTGTTGTGTAGAAGAGAATTTTGGGATGTAATGCAAGCTACACCTGCTGAAATTCATTCTTCTGCTCAGTTGCATAAGAGCCTTGTCACCTTCTTCATTTGACCACCTGGACCGAAATGAACTTGAATAATTGCAATTGTAATAATTGTAACAGTGTGCACCCACACCTATGCAAATAAGAGTAAGAGGCAGCCCGGAATATCACATTTTCCATTGTTGCTTGTTAGGGAAGGTTCTGCTACGTTAGTAAAAGCTGCCTCCTGCTGGTTATCCAAATCTGTCCCAGACAAGCATAATGCCATATTGACTTTTGTCTTGTAATGATACTGCAGCAAGAAATAGGAAAGATGAAAGAAACTTGTGCACAAGATGTACCAGTGTTTTATCCCTTGCAAAAAAAAAAGGGGGGTGGGAGAGACCTTAACAAATCCTGTACAAGTTGGTATGAGAGGGGACCATGCACTATCCTGGTAGGCAAGTGTGCAATCCAGTACTCACCTCTGTAGGCAGCAGGAGGAGACAGCGCTGGTACAGCAGAACTGTACGGAGCCTAGGCTCACATCTCAACACTAATGCCAAGGGTTACATCCAATTGTGACCGTCAAGGGCCCTGTGAGCTACTCCTGGTGCCTTTATGAGAACAACTGGTCATGCTATTTGAGGAAAAAATAGGTAGAGCTTGCCAGAGTTTTAAATAGAACCCTATCATTCTTAGAGGGCTTTGCTTAAAGCTTTGGTTTTTGGGTTAAATTGGTTTTTATTACATTTTCACACCATGTGTTATTAATTCCAATCCTTTAGGTTAAGAATCACAGTGAAAAATTGGACAAGGAGCTGGCAGTCTTAGAAACAGTGGAATCCCAAGCAGATTCAAAGTATGTGTCTAGTTCCTCTCCATCCTTCCCTGTCCCGTTTGCAATGAATTGTGTTAATTCAGCAGTAGTCCCTGTTGGTGGTGGTGCGGTTTTTGTATCTATAGTTTATATTGTGTGTGTGTGTGTGTGTGTGCGCGCGCACACACACACACACACACGCACACACATTCTAGTCCAAATGTTTCCTTTCATGGCAGAATGTTCCTTATGCTGGAAACTCTGTCAGCCTTCCTCAGCTTGGTGACCCTGTATGGTTTTGGCTACAACTCTGATCAGCCCAACCAACAGTCAGGGCTGGTTGAAGTCTCACGTTAATTCTTGACATGGTGCAGTCACTGCAAAATGATGGTTAAACATCATTTTCAAATTAAGACTTGCATTGATTTTCAAGGATTAGGGGCTGGGAAAAACATCTGGCACTTCTTGAATGTTCAAAAACACCCAGCATCAAAAAAGGTTATTTTAAGAATTACTGTTTGCTCACTGAGCCTTAAAATAAGCCTATTAAGGAAAGTCAGCGTATTTTCTTCCAGATGGGAGACTTAGCAGCACAGTCCTGTGCAGGTCTACTTGGAAGTAAGCCTCATTAGGTTCAATAGGCCTTACTCCCAGCAGTGTACTGGAAGGGAGAGCAAGTAGCAATGCTTGCACCAACAGAACGATCTCCTTAGTGCAACACTGAAATCCACCTGTGTGTTTTATTGTTTTAATGTACTGGCTTTTATGTAGATTCTGTAATGAGCTGGAATTTTTCATTATGATGAGAAGTATAAAAATGTTTCTGCCTTTTAAATCAGTGGGTATTAAGAAATGTTTAAGTTTGATTGAATCCTGTCCATTGTATCCTTCCATGAAAATGGTATATATTCAAACTGGAAGACCCTAAGATTTGCCGGTCTCTCTTTTTTCCTTCAAAATTAACCCATGAGAAACAGGTGCACTCGATTGATAATGGAGTCATCCAAACTGTGAACTGTGAGATTCTACCTTTCTGTTTTATTCAGCTCTGTTGCTGCCCTAAATTGCTTCTTTAAGATATTTTGTTTTCCCCACTCCCCAATGCTTCATTTTTCTTAGAATAAATGTCTCTAAATGCTTGAGAATAAATAATGTGTTGTTGTTGTTGTTTTAATTTAGTGTATTGCAGAAGCTTCGGGCACTGGTGGCAATGAATGAGAACCTCAAAAGCCAAGAGCAAGAATTTAGAGCACATTGCAGAGTAAGTTTTTTAGATGCTTCATTCCAAGTCAGTGCCTGCACACAATTCTTTTTAAGGATCCAGATTGAGGATCCATAATCCAGATGTACTCCTGTGCTTCTTTGTATATGCAGCAGAATACATGTATGGACCATGTTTACTAATTCCTGTTGCTTAGGAATGCTTTTGCAACGCAGTAACTGGAAAAACTACTTCCATGTGGTTAGGGGCTCCGTGTCAACATGAGGACCAGAGGTGTAGTGGGGGACGCACTAAACCCCACTAAACACCACGACAACGCACTAAACACCACATCATGGGAGGGGAGCCCACACTTACCACGGGGCGTGGCCTACAGTGCACCTGAGCCACATGTCTCCTGGGAGTGACGCAGTGGCTCGGGTGCCTGCAGGCTCCCTGCTGCCCGAAACAGCAGCGTGGGGCTGGCATCTGCCCACCGCCTCCCCCTCAGGCTCAGCTGCCCTACAGCTGAGGCCCCAGCTCACCCCGCCCCCAGGTGCAGGGCGCATGTGATGCCCCAGACGTCTAGCTAAGCCGCTGTTGGGTACCTTGTAGTAAAGCAGAATATAATCTTTTTTTAAAAAAAAATGCCATTTGCCTTGGTCACCTGGCTGGTTCCCATTCCACAGTTCCCAGGTGGACGTGTGCAGTGGGAACCTATGAACATTGCAGTGTCTTAATACTGACATCTGTTAAGACTGCCGTGTGGAGCTCCCACCACCTAGGTGCCAAGGTAATGTATGAATTGGACTGAAACCATAATCAGTGGTTGTTGCGAGGTACCTTGAAAAAGTGATCAATATCTGGAGTTATAAAATGTGTAATTGTATGAGAAAGGAGGAAAGAAATGGAACGGGGCAAGAATACAAATTGAATTTTAAACCCCTGTAACTTAATATTTTGGGGTGGCTATTTTCATTATGGGATGCAGTGTGCTCAGTGTTGCTTCTGCAAAAGCGCTTTCGAAATGGTTAGGGACAGTAGGGCTTGTGCAAGATGCTGTAGTCATGGTGGTGCTTGTATTTTGATTTTTTTAAAAAACTCGAACTTATTCCCTTGCCCTTCTGACTTGGGTTCATTTGCATAAGAGTCAGACTGTGTGTTTTCCCCTCTCTCTCCCCCACCCCCTTGACAATAGAGTGTGCTACTTTACATAACGAAGAACATTCACCTCCTCTGGAGCCCTAAGCACAGAATGTCTATACGTTTTTGGGCTCTTTCTGATGCATATTTTACGAAAAGAAAACACTGTCTCTGGCTTCTGTTTCCATAAAGAGCACACGTTGATTGCTAATGAAAAGAAACAATTATTATTTTCTTGCTGTTCTAGGAAGAGATGGCGCGCCTCCAGCAAAACATTGAAAGTTTGAAAACAGAAGCAGCTGAAAATGGAGAAGAGAAGGTAAACAGAAAATATTTAAGCATTCTTACTGAGCTTTGGAATCTTCTTCCCATATATATTTTTTAAGAATTTTAAAATGCTTGCGGTCCCTTTGCTCCATTTAGAAGTGTTTGCCCTCATTTGGAATGCTGCCTGAATTTTTTGTTTTGCCAGTCTGTTAATTAAAGGTGCTAACGTGTGTGTGTGCATGTGTCTTTTGATGTGATTCACTTTCTCTGGTTACTTAAAATGAACACTTCATTTCACTTTAACAAAACTTTATATATTTGAACTCATGTCTTTCTTATCGAAGGCAATTTCTTATACACAAGAATTGGGACTTGGAACACTGGAACACAGTCAGTTCCCAAAAGTGTGTGTATTTTTTGGAGGGCGGTAGTTTGTTCCTTTATGTACACTGAATAGCAAATCTGATTCTGTTTGCCTGTGTATTTTAATAAAAGAAACATCAGGACACATGGCGGACATTTAACAATGGATGTGGCATGCAGGTGTTTTCCATTAGAGGACCTCTAAATTGTTGCCCAATTTAAAAGTACATGAGGCTTGAGTTTGGACTCCACCTTCAAGAAGATTGCTCAATTCAGATGATTCTTGAAACCTTGCAGTCCATCCTCTCTTCCAGAAAACTTCTCTTTTGTTTTGCACTAATCATAGTTGGTTGTAGTGTCCAAATCAAACTGCAGAGTTCTTGCACTCCAAGAAAAACCCACTTCAGACCTTGGCTTCTAATTTCCGGTTTGGAGGACAAGCCTTAACCATGGTCTGCCGATTCGGATGCCATGGCAAACTGGGGTTAGTGTTAAACAGGAAAAAGCAAGCCATCTGTAAACTTGCAGCTCATTACTGAATGTCCAAATAATGAACAAAAAGATACTTTGAGCTTTCCTGGAGCAAATCAGAACTCCAGGATATCTTACCCAGGATTTTATTCTCCCCAAGGAGGACTATGTTGAATAGTCTTCTGACACTCTGACTGGTGTGCTTCCCCAAACCCCACTGTCCTTCTACCTGCTAGTGTGCATTTTTAACAGCTGTACAACAAGCAGAGCCCGAACACATTCAACTTTACCCAGGATGGACTCGTGATGGGGAATGTTCTTCTGCTTCTCTGGGCAGCTTGCTTTTAGGTGAATATGCTATATATGTAGTTGCACAAGTTAACATGTTTGGTTGGATCCAGTAAAATGTGGCAGAACATAGCTTTCTTGAACCCCTTCCCCTCGGTATGTTTTTAACTTTGGTGCAGAACCAGTATAAACCCTGGGCCCAGTATGAATAAGTGACCCTTTGTCATCATAGTCTCGACTGAATTTGGTCAGCTGGAAATCAGTTTTATTTTATGTCTCCAATGTTAGGAACCCGCTAAAATTATAGACCAGCAGTACAAAACCGAGAGAGAGAAGCTGCAGAAGATCAGACTGCTTCTGGTGAGTTTTCCAAACCGTAAGTCTAGCTGGGTTGGCAGATGTATTTGCTAAATGTGTTCCTGTCCTGCACAATGTAAATTTCTGGTTCACGCGAGACTCGCGGATTCTTCTGTAATGGATGTTTTAAAAATTGGAAATACCAGTTTGGGGGTAATTATTTGGAAAACGTCACCTTTCGCAGTGGAGCCAAGAGGGCAGGGGGTCCGCATGGCAGCAATTGATTCCGTTATCAGGTTGTTTCTAAATGTCAGTTTGTTTTTTAGAAACCTAGTCACAGTTTTTGTTTTGTATATTGTTTTCAACTCCCCTCAGGCCCGACGAAACAGAGAAATAGCCATTTTACAACGCAAGATTGATGAGGTTCCCAGCAGAGCTGAGTTAACACAGTACCAGAAAAGATTTATTGAACTTTACGGGCAGGGTACGTATATCAGGCAGAAATGCATTCCTCACAGCTAAGCACTATAAACCTATGGAGCATGGCAACCACTTCTTGTTTAATGTTGTTGTATCACTGGCTGTTTGACATTCACATCGTATGCCTTCGCAGACAAGCAGGGTTTTTCCAAAACATGGATTTTAAAATGCCCTCAGGGCCAAAGATTTGGCGCTTTGGGGGTAGGTTCTTGAATGTTCTGCCACTTAGTTCTACAGTCTATATATTAAGACACTGTTCCTTATGACACTAGGCAGGGGGGGAAACAATAGCAACAACCAACCCACTACATGCAATGGGTACGTCAGGGCTGCCCTCCCCACTAATACACCAGTTAATTTGTGTGATGTGCAGCATTCATATTTATTTCCAATCCCAGCTGTTCTTCCACTTCAGAAACAACGTGTGTGGGGCCTGTGCATGCACACAAATAGGTGCACGCTCATACATACGCATGCAGTGCAAGGTGAGGAAGCCTTCTCCAGGCCCATGATCCCAGTGCACTTGTAACGTGGTTGCTGCAAACTAGTCTTCATCTGCTTGTTAGTGGCTGACTACTTCAGTGGAAACCCCTACAGCAGCAACAGCTCTTCTGCTCAAGGAGCACTGGCTAGGGGTTTAAGTAAGCCTAAGGAAGAAGAGGAGGAGGAGGAGGAGGAAGAGGAGTTTGGATTTGATATCCTGCTTTATCACTACCCTAAGGAGTCTCAAAGCGGCTCACAATCTCCTTTCACTGCCTCCCCCACAACTAACACTCTGTGAGGTGAGTGAGGCTGAGATACTTCAGAGAAGCGTGACTAGCCCAAGTTCACCCAGCAGATGCATGTGGAGGAGCGGGGACGCGAACCCGGTTCACCAGATTACGAGTCCACCAACGAAAGCCTGCTTGTTTCCCAAATGCTCGTCCTCTGGTGAAATTCTTTGTTCTTGGAGAAATGGGGTGGGCTGTCCAAAAAAACGAGGGGGGAAAGACAAAGGTGACAGAAGAAGAAAATCAGAGGTACTGCATTCCATAGGAACCTGTCGTTTTCTGGTACCCAGAGGTAAACTCCTCCTATTGCCCTTGGCCCTCATTTTCTGTCTGCCCCAGTTGTTCACTTAGTTTTTTCAACATACCTCCCTTAATGGAACTCTCTGCTCTGGATCCTCTATGTATACCTGGCTCTCCATTGCCATTTCCAGAGATTGTGGGGAAACTGTTCCTTTACACTAGGTGAAATCTGCAGGGCAGGACATGAGGCGTCTACCTGCTGCACCCTCTTTGGGGGGGGGATAGGTTAAGGTTAGGGGGGTCCACTGGTAAGCAAGCCCACATGGGCATTTGACACTTTGACGCAGACTGTAGATAATTCAAGGACTTGAATTTCTCACTCCCAGAGGTGGGCAACTTCTCGCCATATGGAACATGTTGTAATTGTTGTATCCCACCCACCTCCCCCCAAAATTGCTCAAACCGTGGTGAGGAGGTGTTTTTAATTGTCTCTGTAAAAACAAATGTCTAGTTCTTATAGTTACAGGGATGTCAAATTTGTGCTCGTCAAAATTAGCAATGTGATCTTTTATATTGAACAAGTGGTTTCCATGGCTGCTTATTATACTTCTGAATTTTTCCCAGAATAGGGTACTCATTTGCAATGTCATTTCTCATTGGCTTTTCTCCAAAACATCTGTTGGGGGGGTGCACATACATGCATGCGCACTGAAGCTTTATCAGCAGCCAAAGCAAAATAATATATGGGTTTTACTGCTCTGCCTCTTCAGGCTATTCAGTACCATTAATGGCTATAAAGAGTGTTCTGTGTCAGAAAGTACATTACCTCTCCTTAGACCGGAACCATCGTTGTATCACTGTCCCAGCCACACTTAATGTAGTGAATTGATGATTTAGGAGAATTCTACCTTTTGCCTGCCTGATCTATGCTAAATGAGCATTGCAAATCATTTAGAATAACCCTTTTTGCTTTACAAGCTGAAATACTGTCACTCCCAATAAATTTATGTGAGCTACAATTCACAGAATGTTGGTTTTATGTTAAGATATATTGCCAGCCTTTTATAGGTTGGCTGAGTACTTGGGAGTGTGTTCTTTCCCTCCTTGGATTTCTATGACAATGTTGAAAAGTTGAAAAGAATGTTTGCAAAATTGTATTTCCAGGTTTTGGCTGGGATCCAAATAGGCTCATGGAGGAGTCCTAAAGGGTTTCCCTACCCTTGGAGGATGTTTGAGACAGTTGTTTTTTTCCCATGAAATGCCAGCTCAAAAGGTCCCCTGGGTTTTGGGGGTGGTTTTTCAGGAAGGGGAGTATGGTGTGTAGGCAGGGGTGTGAGAAAGATACTGTGCATAAATGGAAGTCGTCTTATCCTTCTGTTAGCTTTCAGGCCTTTTCATTTCTTCCTACAGAGCTAATAGGAGCCATTCTGCTCCTTAATAGGTGGAGAACCAGCCTTACATATGACAGCAGGTTCACCTTTTAACCTTTAACATTGTACACCTTTCATGTTGTGCACTGTTAACTTATTTAAGTTAAAAATTATCATGAAAGCCAGCTTTCTCAGTCACCCAATTTTGAGTGCAGGTGACACTGGGACTTCTTCTCCAGAAGCTTGTGTTTAGGAGTGCAGCCTAAGGTTGCAACCTTATACTCACTTAACCAGAGTAAGTCTTACTGGACTCTGTTGTACTTACTTAAGAAGGCATGTCTGGGATCACACTATAAGAATCTTCCCTTTGTTTGCAGTTTCGGCAACACACAAAGAAACGAAGCAGTTCTTTACCCTCTACAACACACTGGATGATAAGAAGGTGTATTTGGAAAAAGAGGTAAGCTGCTTGATCAGATGTTCTAGCTGACCACAAAGCCCCACCAGCAGTATAAGCCATTATTTTTGCAATAAGGGGAACTATGGGGAATATATTTGGGTTCCTGCTTGGTTTCTTCTGTCTGTTCTGTAAAAGGTTTTTCCTTAAGACAGGAGTGGATGGGGAACCCATGGCGCTCCTTGATGTTGCTGGACTACAGGTCCCATCTCCCCTGACCATTAGCCATGATGACTGGGGCTGATGGGAATTGGAGTCCAACGACATCTGGAGGGCAGCAGGTTCTTCCCCCACTCTTGCCTTATTGACATCACTTCACAGAATAATAACTTTTAAAGAATTGCACAATGCTTTTGTGTGCTGTATAGCGTTAATTAGTTCTAATGCAACTCAGTGTGGGTAGAATGTCTCCTCTGTCTCCTCCACATAGGAGTTCTTGCCAAAAAGTTAAATGGCAAGGTGTAATTATATTACTCTCACCCTGCACTGATGAGAGCGAAACCAGACATAAATTCAGAGATGCCTCTTAATGAGAGGCATTATTTCTATAACCGATGTGCAGTTAAAATATTCATTATCTTTTCCTTTCCTTGACGTGATTATGACAGCGCTGAGAATGTAGTTATTTTAAAAGTCGTCTTTTAAAATGCTAAGTGTTAAATTGATAAATACTGCCTGACTGTGTATCAAGAGCTCAGTGGTATCGAGCATGTGCTCTGCATGCAGAAGATCACAGAATGCAGCAGCTCAGTCCCTCCCAACATCACCAGGAAGGGCTGAGAGAAAACCCTGCCTACAGTCCTAAAGAGCCCCCTGCCAGTTGGTGACCATACTGAGCTGGATAGACCAATTGTCTGACTGTCATAGTCTGACTCTAAGGCAGCTTCCTCTGTTCCCAATGTTGAAATGAGATGTCATGGAATTGTGGGCCAGCTAGATTCTGCTAAATTTGCTTATTGATGCCTGATTATGCAAAAAGTTGCGGTCTTCAAAGGCTAAAGCAAACATGGAGAAAAACAAGTGAATTGGAAGAATGTGTGTGCTTTTGTGTGAATGCATGGACAAGGAAGCCATATTCCTGTAACCCACTTACAATTTTTTTTGTTAAGTGGTGTACATAAATCTTGTCAAATAAATAAATAAATAACCCAGGTTGACTCCTGAATGAGATTCTCCTAGCCAAAGAGGATTTCCCCATCTCCTGCTTCAGCCCTCCAAGAAGGCCAGCAGATCCTAATTAATGGTATGGGATGTGCTGAGGAGAATTCGGTGGGGATGGAGGTCACAGAGATTGATTATAGGGGGCTGGTCTGAAGTGCATGGATTAAATCAAGCAGTGGATTCTAATGCGGGCCTCCTCAGGTAATCGTGTCAGAATGCAACTGCTTCAAGGCTTTTGCTTAAAAGAGGTCAATACATTATGAACCTTCCTTCAAACTGACGTGAGACAATTGGTCCATCTATCCTGATTTTGATTCTTCTGACAGGCAGCAGTTCTCCAGGGTTTTGCTTTGAATAAAGTGAAGCATGTGATTGATTGCCCTGTTGAATTTGGCAATGTGTTGTCTCGTGTCAAGTGTTATTTATAAAGGGGCGGGGTGGAGGGGGAGACCCATGGTTTCTTTGAAGACCTGCTGTGGTTTGCATTGTTGTGCCGCGTAAATAGGAAACCGATTGTGTTCTTTCCAGCAGCTAATGCAAGGCAAGAAAAACGCTAGCGGAGCAAAAAATGTGCAATAGCACTCTGTGAGGCAAGGAGAATTTTTGTCTACAGCTTAGACCAGGGTTGTCACCCTTTTTTGAATAGCGGATGCCATGGGGTGTGTGGCAAAACACAAAATCAAGAGTACAGTCATTGCTGCCCAGAATTCACTGGGGTTTTGTAACTCTGTGATTGCATATCCCTTTGTACATGGTACTTCAATTTGATAATGTTTTGATAAATAGGATAGCAGCAGCCCAATATTTATTTGAACACATATGCTAGCTGTGAGGAGCACAAAACATTGACTATATGCTCCTGAAAAGATAAAAGTTAATAGGTACACAATTTGTCTGCAGTCATCTACATTCCCTACCAACACATGTTTGTGTGTAATGCTCTGAATACCCTCACACTGTTGTATTTCAAGTGCTGTTCTTAGGGTAACATAGTACTGGTTCATTAAATGCATGTTCATTACTTCATGTCTGAAAGTATGTGTGAATACAATAAGAAATTTGTGGTAACCCAGTGAGGCCTCAGATGCAGTGTTTTTGAATGAGTTGGTTCACGCACATTAAACTGCAAATCAAGTAATTTAGTGCAGCAAAGCCTGTATGATCATGCATTAGCCAAGCCGCATCATTTTCTGAACCAACCCTATTGCTTAAAAGGCATTTGCTTTTTTACATGGAAAACTTTGCATAAAAATGCATCCTTGTGTTTGTCTTTCCCAGGTTAACTTGTTGAATTCAATTCATGACAACTTCCAGCAGTAAGTACTCCTTTCTTTTTTGTGGGTACAGCCCTTACTAACACAGCGTGGCCATTTCACCTCCCTTACGATGACCAGCCCTTGATTTAAAGAAACAGTCACATGTCTTTAAAATCTTTCCAGAAGTTTCAATAGTCTTAAGAAAAAAATTTAAATCATGTATCCCATTCAAGAAATTATGCATGTCACATTATGCTCCTAAATAGTTCATGTAATACTTGTTTCAGTGCCTTTTCTCTGAAACTATGACAGTATGCTGCTTCTTGTTTTTCAAGGAGAAATTTAGAAAACAGTCCTACATTATAATTTCTTTTGTCAGACAAAGGCACACTTTAATAGGCTAGCCCTAAGAATTCTGTCAAAATCAGTGGGACTTGAATAAGCATCACTGGGATCCAAAGAGGCCAAGTTTGTCTTTTCTGTCAACTGCAAGCAAAGTTTGACTTCCATGATTTACCATTTAGGCTGCAGACATATTGCGTGGACTCTCACTCTTTCCTCAAGTGACTTTGGTACCCATTCTCCTTTGTCTAATGCCCTCGTGCCATGTGCACCCCATTCTCATTTCAGAGCCATGGCTTCTTCTGGTGCTCGAGACCAGTTTCTGCGGCAAATGGAACAAATCGTAGAAGGAATTAAACAGAATCGAATGAAGGTTAGTTTATTATTTTCACATAAGTTTTGGTGGTGTTTCTTCTTAGACCTCAATATAACCTTTATGATTTGTGCAATGAAATACAAACCTACAGAACATCTGGAATATGCTTTCATTCCTGCACTGCTACGATATGCTCATTATTACCCTGTGAGCATACTGCAACATTATAGCAATTGAAATAGAACACACAGGTTGAAGATGCGTCTCTATACCAAGCACAATGGAAATGATTTGGATTCATAGTCTTGGTCCTGAAAGCAAATGCCTTGGAACATAATCAAGTATGTGTTGTGTTCCTCCATCATGCAGCCTTCACCTGTTAAAACACATGCACAGTTCTTATCCCAGATCACATATCTGCCAAAATTCCCTTGCATTATTCTTTAAATTACGCCCTTTTCTTTCATTCACAGAGATCCTTCTTTCAAATAAATGGCCATTCTCAGTTTTTAGATTTAATGATTTGTAACTAAGATGTGCTGAATAGAACAAGGGATAACCTTAGGTGTAGGAAAGTCACTATTATTTAGGGTAGGCAGTACTACTACACTTGATAATTGGCTTGACTCTGGCAAAGGCAGTTCAATATCTGAGCACAGAGCATCTCCGACTAAAGATTAAACTTGGATTTAAATTAATTAGTCAAGCTTATAAAGTTTCTCTAGTCTAATGGATGGCATAGCAAAAGGAAAAATAAACCCAAGGGAAGTTTGATCTACTTGCTATCTCTGCATTGAAAAGGACCCCTTGTAGATGTTCTCCTGTGGAAAATGCTGAACCTTTTTTAAAAAACCCAACAAGCTTCTTTGCTACAGCCACTCTCACTCAACAAAGTAGAAGGTGTTTCCTTCCTGCTTGCCATTTTTTAAACTCATCCCATTGGGGTGAGACGAGCACTTCTAGCACAAAGCACCAGTGTGGGCCATATACAGTGGGTTGTCCAGTAGGGAGTCAGTACACCTGTTGAAACCACAATGCAGGTATCCTTGAACAAGATAGTGTAGGAAAGAAACATCCCATGAGCAGAAAGGCAAATTTTCGCTTGGTCTTGATTTTCATTTATGAATGCAAACCATGAAGGTGGGGCCTCATGAGTTACCTTACTTTTGAGATTTTAAGCAAAGGGGTGTTGGAAAAACTTCACCACAAGATAACTGACTTGTGGCACTACAGGTTTCATAGTGATTTCACTTTTTAATCCTTTGCTATATTTCTGCTCTTTCCTAGTTGTAAACTACCAAATGTTTCTATTGTTGGAACAAGTGCAGATGCAGGGAGCACTTTTTGTTTATCTGGTGTTTTGTTTTTTTAAGAAAGAAGGGGGCGGAAATGCTGGAGGATTTCGTTTTTGGTCTTGCGCGTTCCAAGGTACCATAATACTTTCCCCTTGTTACCAACAGATGGAAAAGAAAAAGCAAGAAAACAAAATGAGAAGGGACCAGCTAAATGACGAATATCTGGAGCTACTGGAGAAACAAAGACTCTACTTCAAAACGGTCAAAGAATTTAAAGAGGTAAATGGGACAGTGGTGGTTGGGGGAAGAGAGAGAGAGAAAACACGCACACAGAGATGGTCAAAAGCTCTGACCATGACGTGGTGGCTTAATAACACACACACTGATTCAGCACTACTTTGTGATGCCACAGTGTCCTGTCCCCCCCCAGTCATCTAGCACTGTACGTTTGTGGGCAGAATGCAGATTAGCTGTTCACAACCTGGTACCCTGCAGATGTTTGGTGCTACAACTCACATAATCTCTGTTAGCCACAGGGCTGAAGAGTTAGTCCTAAACACAGAGGGCATGAGGTTCAGAAGGGCTGGTGTGAATGATTCTAGGTAATATAGTTGGTAGCAGAAGGCTAAGAACAATCAGGTGCATTAGTGTGGTTTTTTCAGATATTATTCATACGGACCAATCCCATCCAGCACCTTTTCACTTTAACAGTAAATTCCACCTGCCTTGCCTTCCGTATTACCTACAGCATGTGTTAAAAGACAGACAGCTGATTTGGGCTGTAATCCTATATGTTTAGTTGGAAATAAGAGCCATTGAATTTAATTACCCTTGCTTCTTTGTAGCCATGCAGGTTTGCACTGTTAGTATCATCATGTTAGTAAACATGTCTTGTTTAATATTTTAAATCTTCCATCTCTTTGTTTATCAACAGGAATGCCGCAAAAATGAAATGCTTTTATCCAAGCTGAAAGACAAGTGTTCTTGAAGAACTTCAGACAGCAATTCATTTATATGATTGAATTCATTTTCATTCTGATCCAGCCCAATGACTAGATGTATTCCTTTTTGAGATTTAATGCAGTATAGCAGTTCAGAAATATTATTTGTCTTTTTATATATGCACACCCATATAAAGTAAAGTGACACTGTTTTGTAAATGATTTACCTTTGCACTAGTTAACATTTCATGTGCACTAGAAAACATATATTGTGTGTTAAACAATAAATATGTATAAATCAAAAGCTCCAAATTTGTTTGGCTGACTAACTTGCTTTCTAAGCTGCTTTTCTTCTTCTATTCATGATAAAAAAAACTTCTTTACTAACAGGGATGAGTGCAGATATTGATGTTTTGCCCATTTCTCTGACAAGCTACAACATTGGCATCTGAAATTCTGCCCAAAGCATAGAAACCTTCAGCACAAATGACAGAACCTGATAGCTCTTTTAGAATTTTCTAAATCCTGAGTTCACTCTAGAAACAACACGTGTGCTAGCTGAAGACTGAAACGGGTCCCAGACTGCAGAGGTAAATGGGCTGAAAAAAGTGCAAATGCCTTGACTGAATCCAAGTGCCCCTGCTTCCAAAGTTGGCAGTAGGGCTCCTTTTGCAGTGGGGTGGTGGTGTATGTGGGGTACCAAACAATACAAGCAGGGGAATCAGACATTCCCTCTGAACAAGCAGACAGCACTTCTAGTCACACAATAGATCTCTGTGTTTCTTTGTATTCTTCATACGATAGGGACACACCTGCCTGCAGTCCCCTACATTGCGTAATATGCCTTTTTGAAGGGTTGTCTGACCAACAAGCAGCTTAATACGTGTGGCTATTGAGAGTCTGCAGCAGGTAATGGTGGGAGGACTTGATATAGGCATACATCAAACCAAGCTGATGGAGATGTTTCTTCCTGTACCAGTAAATTGATTTAAAACAAACAAAACAAAAACCTCCCAGTCTCTGCTCCTGGAGAGACTAGGATCTTGAGGTAGCCTGGAACCTCTAGGCAATAGTTTAAAGCTTGAGAATTCGGTCTGCCTTGATGTCACCAAAGTATATATTGCATGCTGTTGTTGTTTAAAATATATTTGACAATTAAGTTATTTTATACTGACTAAGCTATCAGACTCATTTTAAAGAGCCTGATGCCAACTTTGCATTGATCTTAAAACTGAGGTAATAGCTGAACATGCAGCTGAGTAAAAGAGCGCTACCACATTTATCCCAGCATAGTAAAACATGTGTGATGCTGCAAGAAAAGATTGCACTTATTGTTAATTAAATACACATTAATATTTTTCTGGAAGAAAAGAACACCAAGAGTTTGCCAAAGCATGGTGGTAACCACTAAATGACTCTGAAGGAAATCAGTTGATGCAATATGTTTTCCACTCTTTGCAGAGCGATACGCTGTCCTCCCCAGTTACCATTCAATGTTCAGAGTTATGATTTTCCCCATAAAATGCATTTAGCACTATGGTAACAGGGCTAAGACATAAAACACATGCTGGCTGCATGTAGGCAAATCCAGTCCAGTTAATAGGGTCATTTGCAGCTACTAAAGGAAAGTTTGCACATATCTATATTTTCCCCAAAACCACTGATTTGAATGGAAGGCTCTGGACTTGCTGGCTGGGAATTTAGTTTCAATGCTCCCCTGCTGTAGTCTTCAGAAAATTGCCTCCATCCTCTACCTTAACCCAACACTTCCTTGTGCCATTTCACATAATTGTTTTTGCTCAGTTTTGCTGCGATTAAAAGTTTTAAAAGTTCAGCCACCCAAGTTCAATGATTCTTGTATCTTAGCAGTCAATGATCTTTATCCTGATTCATATCTGCAGAATTACTAAAGCAAACAAATACTGTTAGGGGTTTTATTAGTTGCTGACACTTTACTTACCTCCAGGCTCTGTGTATTGTAGTGCCTTGTAACTCTTGGAATTCTTGTTTTTGGTGCCTTACTACGCCCGCCATAAATGTTTCATAGTAAAAGTTATTGATGACACTAAAACTGGCCGTTGGCAAATGAGCAGAACAACGTTAAAAATATGGTCTAGCCTTTACAAGGCAACACAGGACAGCTTGTTGCACAGGCTTAATTGTGATCGGAGTGGGGTTCTTGAAATTATTTGCTCCCTTTCATATAGGGAGCTGCAGCCAACTGGGCAGGAGGACTTTTGCAATGGTTAGAGATTTCTTCTCTAGAAAACTGGGCTGCATTGCAATGGAGGGTGTGTAATGGGCTATGTTTCTGATATATCACTCGTTCTTATTGCTTAATTCCCACAGTCAAGCGAAATATGCAAACGGAATTACCTAGCAAACAAAATTTGCGTAAATGAGCTTAGTACAATCCAATAGGTCTGGCAGCCATGCCCCCCCCCATTGCTATTTTTACCTCTGCCTCACAAAAAGGTTCTTGAATGCATTGTTGTAGTTTTTGTTAAAAGCTGTATAAATCAGAGGGTTGAAGAAGGAGTTGGAGTAACCAAGCCAGAGGAAGATGCTTTTCCAGACTGGTGCTATGGTGCAGGAGCAGAGGGGGCTTATTAGTTCTGTGACAAAGAAGGGAATCCAGCAAAGTACAAACACACCAATTAAAATGCCAACCATCATAGCCGCTTTCTTCTCTTTCTGTTCTCTCCATGTTTCTCCATCTGTCTGGAAAGTGACAGTCGCATGACGAGCTGTAAACACCATCTGCGGCTGATGAGAAGCTTCTTTCACCTTGACATAAAAGCAAACAGGAATTATTACCAAGACAGTTTTGTTTAAGTAAAGGATTTCTACACACACACACACCCCTTCACTGCTTTTCAAATGACAGACCAGCTGTGTCCAAGCCCAAACTCTAGACTTCAACTAGTGTGTGTGTGTTGCAAGACTTCTGCTGGGGTGGAGGGAGGCAATAAAAACACAGATCAGGACAGAACTACGTTGCCCCATTATTCACTCCTGCAACATACAGCACAAACTACTGCTCAAATAAGTCGCTATCTTAAATAAGGCAGAATCCAAAGGGTGGTGAGGTCTTGTGCATGGATTTCTGCCTTTCAAGCCATTCTGCCCTAAACCTATTCCCCTTGCTCTCAAGCAGTGCAAAGTAACATCTGACGCAGCACAAGGAAAGCAAAAATGGCAATGTCCCCAGGTGAACATCTGCATATAAATGGGCTTTATTTTATCCTAGTCACACTGTTTGGCACTTCCGTTATAGTGATCCAACATTTGGCTAGATGGGGGAGCCAAAGGAAAACTGGCCCTCTCTCCTCTAGCCTATAGAAATGTATCCCCCTGTCCAAAGCACACCCACCCACACACCCCACAGACAGGGTACTACAGCAGCATCAATAACTAATGGAATAAAACATAGCAATGAACAAAATGGGTTCTATCCAGTTCTTCCACTGCTAGATGTATTTGAACTGACCTTCATCACATGAGAGCCCAGGGTGGTTTGATCTAGCAGAGGCTAACGTCAATAGGAGAAACAGAAATACTGTTTTCCTCAATCAATTAACCCTTCCCTGTAGACCCCCTCCCCCCCCAAAAAAAATTACACCAGTCTGTCTCAAAACGTTGTACCCTCTGACATGAATCATACACACAACACTGGAATGACCCCATCTGTTTGCTCTTTGAATGGCTAATATTGCTGGGAAATATTACTGGAAAACTAAAACAACCACAACCACCACCAGCAGCAGCACCACTGCAGGACTTGCCTGATACTGGCTGATGAACAGCATTGAGGTGAAGCTCTGGTGCTGAACCCAGCTCCAATTAAGGACTTCTGGGTGACATCCAATGATTTCCACCTGCTTGTGCAACAGAAATCCACTCATGCAGTGGGACGTCTGGTCTTTCTCCCACTTCAGCCCCGCCAAATCAGCTGGAGATGCTCCCATGTAGGGGAAGCAGCAGGGTAGTAAGGAGAAGCCTTTGTTGGATCTTACTCTTTGTATGAGGCTTTACTGACAAACAGCAGAGACCCTACATGAGGTACAGCTCTTTTTGGGACTGTTCTGGCGTAAAGAATGCTCTGTGTGTCTGTCCTCAGCTTTATTCAGTAATCCAACTACAAAGGAATGGACAAAACATAATCGTTATCACTGAAGTGAGAAATTAATAGGCATTTAATGTTGCTTTGCCCAACTCAGGGTTCCATCTGTAAGGGCCTGGCTGTTTTGAACCTCTTTAGTATGAGAGGAGGGTAGCAGCCCAGAAAGGCTAAGTGTGAGCAAAAAGTCACTTATCAGTCATCAGGGTGGATAGTGAGGTCTTTCCCTACAGGTGAGAGACATGACTCTGAAACCTATGCTAGGAAATAGAAGGGCATTTATTTGCCTATTCCTCCTGCTCCTCTGCATTGATATTCTCATGATTCTCAACCAATAAATCAATGACTGCAGATCTTTCCCCTGGATCTATATTAGTAGCCTAAGCAAATGCTTCTCTGTTGAACTTGCACAGGGAAAAAGCGAAATTGCTATAGTAACAGAAATTGGTAAGTAGGGCTGGGAGTATACCTGCCAGTTTCACTTCAGACTTTACTGCCTCCAGGACATGCAGTAAATATAGTCTGCCTCACTGATTTGTTCTCCTTCCTGCTGCTTCAGGTGTTTCCTGTCATCCTGGACCCTTTTCTGCAGCCTCCTCTCCTTTGTATTTGCTTCTACCTGCATCAAAAGTCCTGGCAACCAGAACTGAGCACCGTGGTCTACTTTGATCCTAACATAAAAGGCTTGGCCCTGCAGATGATTAATTGCCAGGAATGTTAGCAAACCTTATCCTGCTAGCAACCTTACCTGTAGTGATCCCATTGATGGCAGTGGGACTACATTAAAACAAAATATATTGTCCATTTTATGTCCTAATTCTGTTGCATGTGCAAGTCCTACTGAATTTAAGGGGGCCTCCCCCCCCCATTCCTCTAAGCAGATATAGGGTTGAAGCCACAGTTACAAACAAACAAAAAACTGAATCGATTTTCTGTGTGCAAAGATTAGGGGCCCCTCCAGACAACCTGTTTATTGAGCATTCATCATGATTTGCTTGCACAAATCAGGAGATTAGATTATATCCTGTCTTAATTGAGCATTCATTCCGATTTGTTTGCTGCAATGAGCATTTGTCCTGCATTCCTGATTTGCTGGCAGGCTTTTTATACTTCACCCCATTAATCAATTGTTCATCTAACACTTTTCATTGTGTTTTCCTGTCACTTTCCTAACAGTAGAAAGTCTGGGGATTATTATTTTTTAAGTGGATTTGTTGCACTAGGGCAATAGAACTCCTTAATCCGTTTAAAACGTGCAAGCCTAAAGTTCCTATGTGTGCTTGAGCCACTCCTGTGAAATAGCGATAGCTTGCAGGTACCCCAAGTCTTGTTAACTCTGCACAACACCTCTTCCTTTCCCAAAAAGATAACATTGGCTCAATGTTTCTTATCTCTTGTCCATTCCTTCCATGTTTGATTTCAATATTGAAACAAGGACACAGTGAATAAAGAACTCCAACAAACATATTTGCAAAAATATGCAGAATGTCAATAACCTATTTCTATCTGGAATGTGACTAATCAATCTCCTTCGTAGATCATATCAGAATACCAGGAAAATGAAGAACCCAACTTTGCAGTCCTTGCCCAGGCAAGTTTGATTACACTGGAAGAGAATGCAGTGACTATCACTCTGCTCACTTGAAGCATCAATAGCACTAGTAGCTAGCATTGTTAGTTATAATTAAAACTGCTCCACTGTAAAGCCAAGCACGAAAGAAAGGTTTCAAGACAATGGTGTGCACACGAAATAAAAAGACAGGCTTAAAATAAAGAAATTCATTTTGGGTTGGGACTGTATATAAGGACCTTTTGCCTATCAAGAAAGGAAACTGGACTGCGGGTAGTGGAACGCTTTCCTAATCAAGGATGCTAAGAGACTTATGCTGTAATTCTATCCAAATTTACATAGAAGAAAGGCCCATTTAATTCAATTGAGGTTACTTTGACATAAATGTGAGTAGCAACCTGCTGTTGCTTGCAACAAGTAGATCTGTATGTGCATTCCCCAAAATGTAACCGTTATATTCAGGTGCCAATTCACACATTCAGATAAACTGAAAGTTGCAAAACATGCAACAACTTTACCATGATAATACACTAATCTAATAAAGGCATCACCATTATCTTTGCTGCACCTTCCCTTCCCACGTGGTGACATGATGAAGATCTAAGGGCCCCTTGGGGTTTACGATCCACAATTCCCTCCACCCTTGCTTAATATGATAAGAATAAATTATTTTTCAAGTACTATTAAGTACTTGCCTTAAGAAATGAAGATTTTTGTCCCGCACATCAAGTTGCAGCTTACCAAAACATTAGTAACATGTCCCACTACTTTTCAATGGGGCTTAATCCCAAGAACTGCACCCTCAAATTTCAGTATGTGTGCAAACACACATTCTCTTGTGTCTGTGTATCTTATTTCCAGACACAGCATTATACAAATTTCATTTTTAATATCACAAAAAATGGTATGTAGCAAAGTTCTTTCTCTGCCTACAAAAAAAAGCAAATGATTGCAAACTTGAAAATTATGGAGCCAATAACATAGGAAATGCAATTTTAAAAAACATCAGAAGGTTAAGCTTTTGTGGACTACAGCCATGTTATCACATGAATGCAGCATTATTCTGGGCTACCCATGTGGTGGTGGGACTGTAATGCAGAAAAGTGCAATGAGAGTTTTGTAATTAACAGCGGGAGTTTCCCAAAACTGTTCTTGATAACAACTGCATCATTATACCAGTAAGCCAAAAAACAAAACAAAGAATCTGATAAAAATCCTCTCAGTTTTACAGTCATTGTCCCCCGAAAAGAAACAATTCCATCTTCTTGTCCCCACAAACTACCATGTGTACATATGTAACTCAACATAACACTTCATGCATCTTATGAAGTGGACTATAGTTACCAAAAGCTTCATGCAATGATACATTTTGTTAATCTTTACTTTGCTACAAGTATCATTGTTCTTTTTGCTGCAACCAACTAACATGGCTAACCCCTCCCCCCCAATTTGCAAATTGCTGCCATGGATTTTGGACACACTTGAATGAATTAAAGCTGGAATCTGTCACAATCATTCACATCAAGCCGTGCAAGGAAGCTATAGGGAAATCAACTGGGATCATTTATGAACTGAAATGACAGGCACTGAAGATCAAGCCCAGACAATGTAAACTTTTGTTGCTGACTTCAATGGTATAGAGACTGTGACCAGCATGAGAAATGGTAGTACATATTAATATGGATAGCTCAGTTGGCAGAACATGAGATTCTTAATCCCAGAGCCGTGGGTTCAAGCCTCACATCGGGTGGAAGATTTCTGCATTGCACCCTTGCAACTCTACAATTCTATCAACAGCAATTCCTTATGATAGCTAAATAGAACCTCCTTATTCAGAGGCAGTAGGCCTTTGAATACCAGGCGCTTAGGGAATGCAGCGAAAGAGCCATGCAGCAAGTCAGCTCCGTTTGTAGACATTCTAGAAGCACCTGGCTGGCTAAGAAAGAGGAGGCTGTACTAAACAGGCCTGACCACCCACTCTCCTCTCTTATCTCCTTTACGTGACATGCAAAGTTCATTCCTGCATATTCTACCTCCCCTGCAATTCATCTTCACGAGTGGCTATGAGTTAAGAAATGCACACAGGTGGATTTGGTTATGTAGCTGCTGATGCACAGATGGACAGACAAATGATGACTCTAAGAGAAAGACTTCATTTCCAAACTCTTTGCCACAAGCAAGCATGTGTGACAGAATAATTCAATACATAGTTAAACCATTCTGTAATACTCCAAAACAGTGCAGAGAGCTGGGGGAGATGCGTGCATGCCAGAGATATTGATACAGTGGTACCTTGGTTTAAGAACAGCCCTGTTTACGAACTCCGCAAAACCAGAAGTAGTGTCCTGGTTTGCAAACTTTACCTCGGTCTAAGAATGGAAGCTGAATGGTGGAAGGGCACCGGTGGTGGGAGGCCTCATTTGGGAAAGCACGCCTCGGTTTAAGAATGGACTTCCAGGACGGATTAAGTTTGTAAACCAAGGTACCACTGTAATTCCCTTCCTACCAAAGAATGAGTCCCAAGATGGTTTATAATAAAAAGCACCCCATCAAAAAAATGAAAGGGGAGACAGACACTATTAAAGAATCTTGAGGATTAACAGCGTAATCCCAAACAGCATAATCCTAAACTCATAAATTTAATCCTACTGCCTTCAGTGGCACTGTGAGTGTGTTTAGGATTGCAGATGAAGACTACAGCAGACTCGATTTAATTGAACATGGTGTGGGCTTCCTTCTGTGTAAACACGTACATAATTGGGCTGCATGTGTATAAATAAAAATATTAGCTCTTTTCCACTTGGGTTGTGCCAAAGGATTAAACGGTGGAAACTATTATTTGCCTCATCTTAAAGCATTGTAAAATCTTAGAAGCACTGCACACCAAATATTTGTATTCACAATGGTTTCTTTCTTCACACAATGAGCATCAGCTTTTGAGGCTGCACCAAAAAAAAAAAAAAAAAAAAAAGCAACGCATAAGACGAAAACAGATTTCAAACCAACTGTGTAATTTTGCACCTCCCCATTCATCCTGCCACACTGGCTGTCTAATGCTTGCATTTATCTACTTTCCATCTCAGATGTGCCACTCCACTCTCATCCTCCAGCTATTCCTAGCTAAACCTTTCTGTCCTGATGTTCACTTTTGCTGTTCCTAATAAATCCAGAAGTCCCTACAGCTGTTCTAGAAACTCTTCCCAACGTTAGAGCTAATCCCGGAGCATAAATAACACTGAGTAACTTTCTCCAGACCCCACACACCTGGGATTAGAGGTAGACACTCCCCACAGCAGAGCGCAGAACTTCCCAGCAGTCTTGGAAAACCTACACTTCACGCTTAAGAAGCTAAGCAAAAGCTCTGCATAAACGTACTTCCTCCCCTTTTCACTGTGGCCCCCTGAATTTCCAGCTGCATCCAGCTGCAAATTTCCAGCTTGTATCTTTCTGCTTGCAAGTTTCAAAACTTGATTCCGAAAGAAAGAGAAAGAAAGAAGCTTTCATTCAAGGCTGCATAGAAGTTTCAGGCTGCTTGAAGCAACTTTTCCAAAGGGCGAATGAATGCTTCTCCTTCCCAGCCTCAGTTGCTTTTGAAAAGATCTGAAATTCCGGAGCTATGGAACCAAAGTCTGAACTGCGCTGGTTGGAAATAACCCTGGCTTGCAGCTACTGCTGTCTACACCTGCTCAACGGCCCAGTTCAACAATCAAACCTTGAACTGTTTGGATGCCTGCTGGTGAAACGCAGATTTAGGTTCATGCTTGTTAAACTTCTCCGATCCACCGTTCGCTCTATTGCTCAACCACCCCTACTGTGTATGCCGCGCGCGATCCCCTGCTTCCCACAGAACTTGAGAGTCGGAGGGTCATCCAGCCCACCCCCTGACAGATCCGAGGGTGGCGTTGCGGAGGAGCCAGATTCCAACGAAGCCTCGCATATCACGTCGCACCCCCGTCCTCCCTGCGCACCAATCCTACCCCCCCCCCGCACGACGGTGCTTTACCTGGCCCGTTTCTGGGAGGGGCCCGACGGCGTTCCTGCCTCCGACGCGGAACTTGGCCGCCTTGTAGATCTTCCAGTAGACGAAGAGCACGACGCCCAGGGGCAGGTAGAAAGCGCCCCCCGTGGAGAAGACGGCGTAGGCGGGCTCGGGGCTGACCTGGCAGCGCTGCTGCTCGGCGCTGTACGAGCTGCCTCCCCAGCCGAGCAGCAGCGGCAGCAGCGCCAGGAGCGCGCCCAGCGCCCACGCCAGGCCGATGAGGGCGCCCGAGGCTCGGCGGCGCGCGCGCGGGGTGTAGCGCAGGTGCCTGGAGACGGACCAGTAGCGGTCGAGGGCGATGGCGGCCACGCTCCAGATGCTGGCCGTGCAGCAGAGCACGTCGAGGCAGACCCACGCGTGGCACAGCGCCCGGCCCAGGCGCCAGCGCCGCCCGCCCCCCGACAGCTCCTTGGCCAGGCTGAGAGGCATCACCAGCGCCGCCACCAGCGCGTCGGCCGCCGCCGTGGACGCCACCAGGTTGTGCGGCGCGCGGTGGAAAGCCCTCACGCGCACGATGGTGGCCAGCACCAGCAGGTTCCACGCCAGCGTGGCCAGAGTCAGCAGCGCCAGCAGGCTCAGCACCAGCAGGCGGAAGAGGGACAGGGGCTCGCCGTCGTCGGAGGACGAGGTGCGGTTGGCTCCTCCGGCGCCTGAGGAGGAGCCGTTCAGCGGCATGGCCGGCTTGGCGGGAAGAGCAGCCGCTCGCCGCCGCCCGCATAGAGCTCCCGGCGCGCCAAACTGAGGGGAAAGGGAGCGGGCGGGGGAGGCGGCGGCTCCAATCAACGCACCTCGCTCCTCCGAAGTGCTTGGGAAACTCCCGCCGGCGGGCAGGTGGCCGGCAGCCGAGCCGCGCAAAGCGCAGCAGCTGCTCGCTCCGCCCCCTTCGGAAAGGCCGCTCCCGCTGCCAGCGCCACGTGCTGTTGCTGCTGCTGCTGCGCGCGCCTTGCTTTCTCTACCCCGGGGGTGCGCAGGGTCTGATTTAGGTTTGATGAGGCCCTAAGCTACTGAAGGTAATGGGGCCCTTTATATGTCTAGCTGTCCAGTTTGTCAACAACAAATTGCCGCTGGTTTTTTTGTGTTGAATATATGCTGTATGGTAATTTATGAACCTAATAGGTATCTAAAGCCATTTGCACATAACAAAGCATGTATTTTATCAAAGTAATTGATATAGAAATGAGCAAACCAGTGATATTTGAGGGAGCAGGCTAGCATTACTTACACTGGCAGTCATCTTTGAGAATTCCTGGAGAACAGGTGAAGTCCCGGCAGACTGGAGGAGGGCAAATGTTGTCCCTATTTTCAAAAAGGGGAAAAGAGAGGACCCAGGTAATTACCACCCAGTCAGTCTGACATCAATACCAGGGAAGATTCTGGAGCAGATCATTAAGCAAACAGTCTGTGAGCACCTAGAAAGGAATGCTGTGATCACCAATAGTCAGCATGGATTTCTGAAAAATAAGTCATGTCAGACTAACCTGATCTCGTTTTTTGACAGAATTACAAGCCTGGTAGATGAAGGGAACGCAGTGGATGTAGCCTACCTTGATTTCAGCGAGGCATTTGACAAGGTGCCCCATGATATTCTTGTAAAGAAGCTGGTAAAATGCGGTCTTGACTATGCTACCACTCAGTGGATTTGTAACTGGCTGACTGACCGAACCCAAAGGGTGCTCATCAATGGTTCCTCTTCATCCTGGAGAAGAGTGACTAGTGGGGTGCCACAGGGTTCTGTCTTGGGCCCGGTCTTATTCAACATCTTTATCAACGACTTGGATGATGGACTCAAGGGCATCCTGATCAAATTTGCAGATGACACCAAACTGGGAGGGGTGGCTAACACCCCAGAGGACAGGATCACACTTCAAAACGACCTTGACAGATTAGAGAACTGGGCCAAAACAAGCAAGATGAATTTTAACAGGGAGAAATGTAAAGTATTGCACTTGGGCAAAAAAAATGAGAGGCACAAATACAAGATGGGTGACACCTGGCTTGAGAGCAGTACGTGTGAAAAGGATCTAGGAGTCTTGGTTGACCACAAACTTGACATGAGCCAACAGTGTGACGCGGCAGCTAAAAAAGCCAATGCAATTCTGGGCCTCATCAATAGGAGTATAGCATCTAGATCAAGGGAAGTAATAGTGCCACTGTATTCTGCTCTGGTCAGACCTCACCTGGAGTGCTGTGTCCAGTTCTGGACACCACAGTTCAAGAAGGACACTGACAAACTGGAACGTGTCCAGAGGAGGGCAACCAAAATGGTCAAAGGCCTGGAAACGATGCCTTATGAGGAATGGCTAAGGGAGCTGGGCATGTTTAGCCTGGAGAAGAGGAAGTTAAGGGGTGATATGATAGCCATGTTCAAATATATAAAAGGATGTCACATAGAGGAGGGAGAAAGGTTATTTTCTGCTGCTCCAGAGAAGCGGACACGGAGCAATGGATCCAAACTACAAGAAAGGAGATTCCACCTAAACATTAGGAAGAACTTCCTGACAGTAAGAGCTGTTCGACAGTGGAATTTGCTGCCAAGGAGTGTGGTGGAGTCTCCTTCTTTGGAGGTCTTTAAGCAGAGGCTTGACAACCATATGTCAGGAGTGCTCTGATGGTGTTTCCTGCTTGGCAGGGGGTTGGACTCGATGGCCCTTGTGGTCTCTTCCAACTCTATGATTCTATGATTCTACATCATAGGAGCCTGCACAACGCAAAACACTGTTGCTGTATGTAGGTTTTATTTTATTAGTTTTTTATCTCATATTTTGGAAATGTACATCCAGGTTTTTTTTCCTTTAAATTGTTTTTGGGGCCCCACTCGGGGCCCTAAGCTATAGCTTGTTTAAGGTAAAGGGACCCCTGACCATTGGGTCCATAGCCGGGGGTGGGGGGAGGCAGGGGACCAAATTTCCTTGATTATAAATCAAGGAAATCCATAAAAAAATACTAAACTAACTGAGGTTCAGCCTCCAACATAAAGCATGTCCCGCCCCCTACATAAATCCTGGCTATACCTATGCTTCCTTCCTTCCTAGGGAGATTTGCAGTGCAATCCCATGCTGATCTACAAAAACTGGATGCCTTAATCTGCCCCAGCTGCAACAAAACATGTCTCTCCCATATTAGTCTCTACAGCCGCAGCAGGTTCTGCAACCTTCTAACAGCTTGACTTCACCCCCCCCCCAAGGCACACTCCTCCATTGTCTCCTGAGATGGACAGATGCCAACAACATTAGAAGTAATTTCACCTGTTACGGTGGGAACTCCATGGAGTGTCTTTAATCCAGGAATTGGGAACCTGTGAGCTTTTAAATGTCATTGGAAAATAAATAAATAAATAAATTTATCATTTTATTTATACCCCGCCCATCTGGCTGGGTTGCCCCAGCCATTCTGGGTGGCTTCCAACACATATAAAAATAATAATAAAACATCAAGCATTAATAGTAACAATCTGACCCAATATAAAAAGTTACAATAACTTTAAAATAAACAACTTATAAAAAATAAAGCAATATTCAATAACCCATTAGAATCCAACTACAATTCCCACCTACCCTGGCCATTACCCATCCTAATGACTACTAATGGAGGGCTAATGACAACTGGAGGCCAACAACATTGGCAGGACCATAGGTGAAAGCAGGGCTAGGTTAAGTCACTTCCACAAATATAGCCGATTTTTAGTAATTCATAATAATCCAAACAATCCACTTTTGAACTGCCAGAGCCACTCTGCTATCACCACTTTTCACATTTAAATATTTATGCTGCTTTTCGAAAAAGTTCCATTACAAAAGAAATAATTCTCAAAACTAGCACCATAATGTTAACGCAAGACCCCAAAGACATATGAAACAGTCTTTTCTCAACCCAATGCCTGCTAGACAATGCACCTTCACACACACACACACACACACACACAAACACAAACACAATGAAGAGAGATTATTTTCCTTTTATTTCTTCTTCTTCTTGCGGGCAGAGGTTCCACCATGGTGACGCAAAACTTGTAAAACCCATTGCCATCAAAAGCTGTGAAGACAGCAAGGCAATAGGACTTATATGGGGAAAGAGTTTCCTGCTTCTGGTGGTGGTGTGTGGTGTTGTTTTTTTTAAAAAAAGCTGTCCTGTACTTCTGCATACCTCATGTTCACAAGATGCTGATTCCTCCATCTTGTTTTTCAGTAGCCCCGTTTTGACTCCAACTTGGTTGGCATTCAACCACCGGAGTTGGTTATTAGAGGGACAGATAGCAACAACAAAGGCAAGAACAGTTTTAATAGGGCTGACTTTTGAGACAGGAGCAACAGCACTAGCTGTAGTGAGTGGGATGAAGTAATTCCATCTGTGGAAGAGTCACCTCTCCCTCAGTCTCCCAATTGGTTTTCTACGTGAGAGGCCATCTCACAGGACACTGTTGTTATTTTCTTCTCGATAAGAACTGTTTAATGTCCTTTGAGAAAGTTGCGTTTATCGTCATAGATAATCATGCTGCAGTTGCTATGGCAACCGGCTTCAGCATCTCAAGAGCAAGGCTGTAATTTAGAGAGAAGACAGATCTAGATGAGGTCCAGATTTTCATAAATTATAAGTAATGGAAAAGCAAATTGGCCCACTTAATGGAAATGGAAGGAGGGGGAAATACAGAGAGGTGGGTCCTACTTCTTCCACAAAGCAATCAAGAAAAAGAAGGGAGGAAATAAGTTGTTCGCATTGCATATGCAATTACTATTATGCAAAATGTTGCCTCTTATTAGGCACAGGAGAATTACAGTTTGAATTCGCTTTTTCTCTGCAGCGGCTGAAGCAATAATCTATGGAACATCCTCACTTCAATTTCCGGTCTGTCCAAAGGAGCTTGGTGCCTTGGCAGCTGATACAATCGACTTTTTCATTACTGTTTATCATTTCTTTTGTTGAAAGGTGGGAAGTGTTAAGAATGAACAGTGAAGGCAAAAGAGCAGGAGCATGCCTTCTGCGGAACCCATGTTTCTCTAGATAATGGGGAGAGGCATGACAGAGATAGCATCAGTTCATGAGAAAAATATATATGAAAAATGGGTACCTTCATTAAAAAAAAAACTCCTTTTGTGAGTTGGTGCGTGTGAAAATGTAGTGCTAGGGCAAAGAAGGTAACATAGATACAAAATGCATATAACATGTTGGGAAGGCTGAGAACCGACTTATGAGATGTTCCACCGTTTATTGAAATTCTGAGAAAGGTACTGAAGTAATATTAAAATAAGGAATCATTGGTTTGAGAAATTATTTGCCACATAGTTCGAAAACTTATGGGATTGCTCTTCTTTTCTCACTTTCAGAACCCAACCTGCAAAGCTTTGTGGGAGAAATACTTCACATCATGATAAAATCATGCAGTTCATCAACCAAGTCAATATTTTTCACTGGGGTTTTATCTTTGCCTTCTTAATCTCCAATTTCTGCCCTCTGAAGATCATTACGCTGACCTTCATGCACTAGAACAAGATAAGCAAATCTGCTGAAGATACCGCTTCACAGCACCCCATTTTAATATTGTTTTCTTTATTTCATTTTTGCTATATAGGTTTGTGGGTATTTTTCTAAATTAAAAAGTGACCATGCACCACTTTGGAAACATTTCTTGGGAAGCAGTTTATAAATTCTCTAACAAATAACAAATAAGGGGGGGGGGGAGATAGAAGAGATGGTTACTTGTTTGTGGGTCTCATTTGTTCTTTTTTATTATGCATTTCATTTTCTTTCTTTTTTATTTATTATTTCTATGTTGTGAACTGCCTCAAGATCTACAGATGAAGGGTGACACACAAAATAAACAAACCAATGAACATTTCCTCCTTGTCACTTGTTTATTTTCCAGTTCAGCTATGGAAGAATGGGAAATGAATTAAATCTGTGATGGGGAACCTGTGGCCCTTCAGGTGCCTTTGGATTACAACTCCCATCATGCATCAGCGTTGGCCAGCAGAGTGACCCATGAAGCTCACTGGGTGACCTTGGACCAGTCATGACCTCACAGTGTAGCCTACCTCATGGACTTTTTGTGAGGATTAAATGAAGAGGGGTCGAACCATGTACACCAGGCTTCCTCAACCTCAGCCCTCCAGATGTTTTTGGCCTACAACTCCCATGATCCCTAGCTAGCAGGACAAGTGGTCAGGGATTGTAGTCTCAAAGCATCTGGAGGGGGGAGGTTGAGGAAGCCTGGTGTACACCATCCTGAGCTCCTTGGTGGGAAATGTTTATAAATGTAATAAATATAATTTGTTTTTATTCATGTCCTGCCTTTCTTCCCCCATGGCGCCCAAAATGGCACACATGCGGTTCCTTGCAGTGACAAGCTCAGCTTCCGCAAGGTGGTAGCTTCAGGGGCCTGCACACTATGCCTTTAAAATACGTTTGAAACACCACCACCCCACTCAAAAAAGTTTTGGGTACTCCAGTTCGTTAAAGGTTGCTGGGCACTCTTAACTCTGAGGGGTAAACTACAGTGCCCAGAATTCTGTGGGGGTGGAATGTGCTTTAAAGGTATAGTGCATATACAACCAGAAAACTAGAATCATAGAGTTGGAAGAGACCACAAGGGCCATCGAGTCCAACCCCCTGCCAAGCAGGAAACACCATCAGAGCACTCCTGACATATGGTTGTCAAGCCTCTGCTTAAAGACCTCCAAAGAAGGAGACTCCACCACACTCTCTGGCAGCAAATTCCACTGTCGAACAGCTCTTACTGTCAGGAAGTTCTTCCTAATGTTTAGGTGGAATCTTCTTTCTTGTAGTTTGGATCCATTGCTCCATGTCCGCTTCTCTGGAGCAGCAGAAAACCACCTTTCTCCCTCCTCTATGTGACATCCTTTTATATATTTGAACATGTCTATCATATCACCCCTTAACCTCCTCTTCTCCAGGCTAAACATGCCCAGCTCCCTTAGCCGTTCCTCATAAGGCATCGTTTCCAGGCCTTTGACTACCCTTCAAGGCTTTTATAGATAGTGTAAAACTTTCCAGCATGTTGAGACAATGAGAATATAAGTTTGGGGGAGGGCGGAATAGCTTTCTTCGTGAGCTAAGGCTTTCTCTTGGTGCCCATTCACTTAAGTGGAAATCGGCATAGTTTAAGGATACGGTTAAGCAGCCCATTTACTGCTGTTGAGGCCAGATATAAGGGTGTGTTAAAAAATCCCCCCTGGGAATTTTCTTTAAAAAGCCATCAGTGCACAACAGGCTATTCTCATCAAACTGATGACTCTGCAGAGCTCTGTTTGCTTCTAATCAGAGAAAGTTTTGCTAACGCTATCGTTCTGGAGAGAAAGCACATTCAAGCTTATCAACCGTGTAACAAATATCTCAGGAGTGTACGTACCCAACTCCTCAGCATTATAGATGGGTTCTGGGGGATCCAAGATGAGACTAATGTGACAAGCACTGTTTAAATGTTGTTAGCATCATAATAGATCCCTTTGCCAATTGCAACCTCAGGCTTTGGGGGCCAAATGTATCTCTTGGAATTGTCCCCAGGCCACAGGCTCCTGCAGGCCATGAACCCTCACCAGCCTAACTTCATGACCTCAGGCACTTTTGCCTGCTTGAAAGGTGTCCTAGAACTGTGATACTGACTCCTGCATCCCTGGATGGAGGATAGAGAGAAGTATGTGACTGTGTAGAAACTAGCCTACCATAGGTAAAGGTAAAGGGACCCCTGACTTTTAGGTCCAGTCGTGACCGACTCTAGGGTTGTGGCGCTCATCTCGCTTTATTGGCCGAGGGAGCCGGCGTACAGCTTCTGGGTCATGTGGCCACCATGACTAAGCCGCTTCTGGTGAACCAGAGCAGTGCACGGAAATGCTGTTTACCTTCCCGCCGGAGCGGTACCTATTTATCTATTTGCACTTGACGTGCTTTCAAACTGCTAGGATGGCAGGAGCAGGGACCAAGCAACAGGAGCTCACCCCGTCACAGGGATTCAAACCGCCGACCTTCTGATCAGCAAGTCCTAGGCTCTGTGGTTTAACCCACGGCACCACCCATGTCCCTAGCCTACCATACATAGGTAGAAATTACATTAATTGTCCCACCCACTTTTGTTTCCAGCCCTGCTCGCTACTGGCATGTGCACTCTCCCACCAATGGATCTTTGGCTGAAAAAAAAATTCCCCAACTGTTTTATGGTTACAAATCACAGAGTAACCTGAGGCCAAACAGCAACAACCTACACCACTGAAGACAGGTTGTGCAAAAGAGCTGTAGAGGTAAATGGGAGGAAAGGCAGGTGCAAGAGGAGCAAAGTGTGTTTCAGACTTGGTTATATCAGGGGAGAGCTGGCTTGGAAGGAAGCACTATGGCAGCCCTGTCATCTAGAGAGGTGGCATTACAAGGTGTGGCTGAAGAGGATCCAGCAGATGAAGACAAGTTGGGGGCAAAAAAAATTAGGACATGACTGGATCTTCTTCGGAAATGTCATGTGCCAAAGGATTAATCTCTCTCAGCCAGCCAATATTGCTCCCAGGGGTGCAAGGCTTGGGTTTACTGCCCCCAGCTATTCACATCTCACAGAAACACCAGAATGGAATGGAAATCTACACCAGAGATACAAACCTCCAGTATTAGAAAGCAAGCCTCAAAGTAGACCAGGCCATGGAAATATGTGGACAGGATAGTGCCCATCTTAGGCTTCAAATCAGTGATATTAATTAAAGATTGGTATAAGGAAATTCCAACTGCTGCTATTATTATTATTATTAGACTGGATGAGACACTGCAACATTAGAGAGACACAGTACTTAAGAGTAACAACCAAATATTCCTGCCCAAAGAAGATTGCGATCTAATTTTCAATCTAACGTGGCTCCTATTTGGTACTTTTCACAGTATCAATTGAGGAATGGGGACTTTGAAGGGGCAAAGAGGTCTGTAACATATTAGCCCAGGGGTTGTCAACCTGGTCCCTACCGCCCACTAGTGGACGTTTCAGGATTCTAGGTGGGCGGTAGGGGGTTCTACGGCACAAGCTGAATCCTCCTTCCATCGAGTACTGGTGGGAGGTAAGGAAATTTTACCATCAAGAAAGATGCATTATTGGGTGGTAGGTATAAAAAGGTTGACCACCCCTGTATTAGCCAATAGGAAGTATCCTACTTGTACAACAGGCAAAGTGTTTCCTTGTGCTCCAGCCTTGAAACAGTGTTCCAAGCACTTTCTGCTAAGCAGAGTTCTTAGCCAAAATTGCCTTTGAAGGTTGTGCTGATTCTCAAAGCATAGCCTTCCAGAGCATCTCAACATGTCGTCAGCTCCTCAGCCTCATGTCAGGATCTCTTGCCCACTGTCAGAATCTGTGTATGTGCTGCATATTCCTCAAGACTGTTTGAGGTAGTAGGCACATAATTCTGCTTCATGAGAACCTCACGATTTCTTTTAAGGCAAAAAGCAACAGAAAGCCACCAGCTCTTATGGCTAAAAAAAATATCTACTTAGGCAACAGCTGCTGAAATCCCAGAAAGGTGGCTCAATAAAGCTTTAGGTGGGTTTCTGAGTTTTTGCCTCTCTAAATATTAACAAGCCTGTAATGCATTTATGCCAATTTGCACACTGTATACGTCACAGAATTCAGCTTAATGAAGAACTACAACCGGCACAGAGTGCATATGTGTATTAGAGGTGTGTAACTGACCAGCACATGCAGCAGTATATGGTTATAGAAACTATTGCAACATATTTCATTCAAAATGACAGAAATGTAATCAAATCAGTTGGAAGAATAATGCTGACTCCTGCCGTTTTGCCACTATGGTTAGGAGTCGTCCAGTGACTGAAGCATGAGGAGGCAATAGAGGGAAACACTGGGAGAAACCCCAGCACAATGGGTGGAGGACGGAGGGGAGGAGACCTTTCTGTTGGACGAGCAGAAATGCTTCTGCTGACCAAACCATCTCCTTAGCACATTGAATATGACCAGAAATCTCTCCTGTTGGTAGTGCCTCTGCAAAATACAATCAGATAAGCTAGACAGCATGATAAAGGGCCTGTTGAACTTGGCCGCTTCCACCAAGTTATTGTGATATCTTGTATTCCACTGTGAAAACAGAGCCAGTTCTTACACTCTTTGAGTCAGCTCCAGTTCACGTCACAACTAACTACTCAAGTGAATGGCTCACTCTCACATGTGACATGAGAGGGAAGTATTTCTTCATGAGAGGGAAGAAATTTCGTTGCTAACAGAAATTTCAAGATGTAACTTTTCTAACTGGAGGGATGAGGGAACCCCAAGAATTCTTCATAGGATAACTAACTTCTGGGATGAAGTTTAGCTTCCCCTGAAAGTCATTAAAATTAGACCTGTGCTTAACAAGTGGATGTGCAGCTACAAAAATAGCAGTGAAGAGAATAGGCAACAGGCTCCAATAATCAAGTGGAACAACCAAGTAGAACAGGAGGAAAAGGGGATGAGCCTGACATTTCAAACCAAATTACGTCACAAACATTCATATTCCTTTAGTGGCGCAGCAATAAAAACTGCTAACACATTTGAAAAGCTAAGCAGGGTCTGATATGGTTTCAAATTGGATGGGGGCCCAAATATTGATATTTTTGCATTGCAAAGGATTGGGTTAGATGATCCTCAGGGTCCCTTCCAACTTCACAATTCTATGGTTCAATAGAATTTCCCAACTCTACAATTCTAATAACATGCCTTTTTTTTCACATCAAAGCGTGCAAGTAGAATTTAAGAACGAATTTCACATTACAGAATATGCTGAAAACTGCACTAACCCAACAAGTGAGTGGTAGATCTTTTCAAATTCTTGTTTGTTTGGATGCACCCATAAGAAGTACATTTCAATAGGGTTTTTTGGTGGGGAGCGGTTAAAGAAATGTTTCAGATGGTGCAAGTCATCGACATAATCAGACCTCCCAATATGGTAACTTAGCTCATCTGGAAAAGTGAACTATCAATCTGTGTGTCATGGTAATCTGCCTTAAAGCCCCCCCTCCCCCCAGTTACTATTGTGAAACCATAGAGAGGCATAGAGTATCCAACTTGATAAACTCTGGCTGCATGGTCAATAAATCTCCCATCTGTATCACTACATCTTGAATGATTTTGAAAGTAATTGCTATTCTATATCTGCACAAAGCAGCACAGGACTGTAGCATTCTATAAGATGTGCCTGCATCATGCCTGGCTTATTCAATTCCTATTATGGGAAGCTTCAGCAAAGCAACTGTGTTTTCTTTTATGGGTCTATAGTGGGGTTGTTTTTAAAATCTCCCCACAGCCATTTTGATAACCTCCCTTTAACCGGCTTACGAAGTCCAATTTCCTCGTCAAGGTTTTCTGAGTGGGAGGCAATTCCTCAAGAAATACAGTATTAGTGTGCAAACCATCAGTCACCTTTATGAGACAAGCCTTGAGTGCGCGATGGCCGAGGTCTATTAAATACCCATAAGATTGATTATGGGAAAAGTGCACAGGAAACCTTACATTTCCAGTCCATTTTTATAGTATTTACAACTTCCTGTGATGCTACTCATATGAGAGCCAGAGCTCAACAGACTAAGCTGTTATCCTATCTGCAAGCTACTGTATACATTAAGTGGGATTCAAAGAGCTGCTTAAGACTTACGATTGCCCAGTGGACCCTTTTCCTTTTCTTCTTCAAACAACTGAATCGCAGCTGAAACCCTCAATGTAAGAGTTTCCATTTCAAAAGCAGCTTGCCATGCAGCATGAGGAAAGATGCCGTTCAATAAAAGCCAAAAGTCCCCTGGGACTCATGAAACTATTTTCAGAGTTTTGTAAATCATCCCGTAAGTAAAAGCAGAGGTGAAGTCAAATGCATCTGCACAATCAAGCGAGAGGCATCTGTGAATCCTAGTGAATTTCTGGCATCAAGTCTTCCAAATAGGAGACTACAGGAAGACACGGCTAATGGATTGAAGTTGAATCCTGACAAGACAGAAGTATTGTTTTTGGGGGACAGGGGGCGGGCTGGTGTGGAGGACTCCCTGGTCCTGAATAGGGTAACTGTGCCCCTGAAGGACCAGGTGTGCAGCCTGGGAGTCATTTTGGACTCACAGCTGTCCATGGAGGCGCAGGTCAATTCTGTATCCAGGGCAGCTGTCTACCAACTCCACCTGGTACGCAGGCTGAGACCCTACCTGCCCGCGGACTGTCTCGCCAGAGTGGTGCATGCTCTAGTTATCTCCCGCTTGGACTACTGCAATGCGCTCTATGTGGGGCTACCTTTGAAGGTGACCCGGAAACTACAATTAATCCAGAATGCGGCAGCTAGACTGGTGACTGGGGGCGGCCGCCGAGACCACATAACACCGGTCCTGAAAGACCTACATTGGCTCCTAGTACGTTTCCGAGCACAATTCAAAGTGTTGGTGTTGACCTTTAAAGCCCTAAACGGCCTCGGCCCAGTATACCTGAAGGAGCGTCTCCACCCCCATCGTTCTGCCCGGACGCTGAGGTCCAGCGCCGAGGGCCTTCTGGCGGTTCCCTCATTGCGAGAAGCAAAGCTACAGGGAACCAGGCAGAGGGCCTTCTCGGTAGTGGCGCCCGCCCTGTGGAACGCCCTCCCATCAGATGTCAAAGCGATAAATAACTACCTGACATTTAGAAGACATCTTAAGGCAGCCCTGTTCAGGGAAGCTTTTAATCTGTGATATTTTACTGTATTTTTTGTTTCTATGGAAGCCGCCCAGAGTGGCTGGGGAAACCCAGCCAGATGGGCGGGGTACAAATAATAAATTATTATTATTATTATTATTATTATTATTATTATAGTAGCTCAGCCTTGCAAATTAAGCCCTTGAGTATTCCTAGCCCATTTGTTTGAGGCAGGGAGAGATGTTGAGAGGGGAAACACCCTAACTCTGCAGAACTGCTCTGCCAGTTTGCCTGGAGATACTCTCCAAGTTTTCTTACCTGGAACAAGCTCTCTGAGCAGCCATACATCCTCTGTTGCTATTCCAGCCATCTCCCACACAAGTAGCTATGGTTGTATTAGACCTCTAACAACTGAGCATCCCTCAGAAGACTCAGCGGTCTTCTGAGTTTTGACAAAATTCAAAAATAGCATCATAAGACAACTGGCTCCAGGAGGGCAGGTGTCAACTAAGTTGTGTGACTGGATCGAGGTTCGCTTACTCAGCAGGATTCTCCCCCCCACCCCAACTTAAATCTGGGTTGGGGGAGCCACCAGAATAGGTTCGAGGGCACAGGGGGGAAGAGAAGGTGGAAGTCTTCTTGCATGGCCAGACCTTGTTCCTCCACTTAGCGCTTTGTTGAATTCCATCCCAAGGGTGGAATTCAACATAGCTCTACAGCAAATGTCCTCGCAGTCCAGGGATTTCTCCTTGCAGAATGGAATGTTACCCCAACTCCAGATCACGGGTTCCCACAACCCTCCGGAGCATTTGGGCGAGCCTTCAAAACTGACATTCCAGTTGTGAGAGTGTGGTTAGGGCAACTGCCATTTGCTTGTTCCAACACAACATATATTACTATATAAGCAACTCATCAGTAGGAAACCTGGCTTTCAGTGTTACTGCAAACACAACCACTTGGATTCACAAGTACCTCGCTGCTTCTGATGTTGTTCTCCTGCTGCCATGTGAAAAAGGCCGTTCATGCAGTTAAAATGCACAAGCTGGATGCCCTAATGGAACCCGGCTGCAGGGCCCGAAGCCTATTCCAAAAGGGACAAAAAGGAAAGAATCCGCTTTGGTGGCAGAACCAATAGCCTGAGAAGTGTGCTATGTGCCCAGAACTCTAAAGGCATTTATTCGTGTGACACGGTGATATATAATTTTGGTTGACCTTTTGAATTCTAACCATTTAAACTCAATTCAAAAATTCATACAGAGTGCAATACCCCTGAACTTCTTCAAAGCTTTCAATTCAAGGTAAGATACCACTTTATATACGTCTCGGATAAAGGTTCTCTCTTCTTCAAACATCCTTTATACTTCCAAAAGTTACAAAAAGGCTTTTGAAGCTTTGGAGGAAAAAGGAATTGCCACTTGGGACCGGGTGGGGTGGGGGGAATAATCACCTACAATTTCTAAGCATGGCCCCAGTGGGCTGTCAAACCTCTAAAGAGCTTCTGAACAGCCATGTGGCATAGCAGGCAGACAACCTACGTTTACTTTGTAAGAAAACACAAGGAAGAGTCTCTGAGTACAAAAACTTAAAGAGTACATAAAAAAGAATTGTATTAATCACCTCTTGCAAAATCTGTGTACATACAGCCTAAAAATTCTGAGAGATGCCAAATCACTTGGGAGTCCATGGAAGAAAATAGAGCACCCTTTTAAAAGTGCCACATAGTATCAGTGGATAGAGACTTGAGCTCCAATCCATTGTAGCCACAGTGTTAGCTCCCGGAGGACCCGCAAAGGGTCAGCCAAGACGTATATCAAGAATACTAATATCCTGCACTGCAGAGGGAATTAGGGGACACAGGAAGAGGCATTCTATTTTCCCGGGTAAGAGAACTGCAGCCAATTCATGTGAGCATAGGCTGGAAGAAGTGGGAAAAGCTAAAAGGAATCTTCCATGCATAGGTACAATGATCACAGAGGACTGGACTGTGTCCTAAAAGTGTGTGCTTCAAAGTCTATACCAAATTCTATACTGAATGCACCTTGCTTTGCAGAGAACAGAGTAATTAAGTGAAGGATCAAAAGCCAGTTCTGTGAACACGGAACAAGCATCTCAGCGGGAAAACTGCCTGCTATCTGATTGTTTCTTGTTAATGTGCTTGAAGATTTTGGATTTCTGGACGTTCTTTGATTTCTGATAGCCAAACCCTCCACCGCCACCTCTTTTTTGCAATCTCTTCCCGTGGCTGCTGTTTACATCTGAGAAAATGGTGTCAAGGAATGCAAGTTCATAAATATGTAATTAGCTTAAGCTATTAAAATTCTAAGGATGGCACCAAGGCCTCTTTTTTGGGGGTGTGTGGAATCATAGCATTAGCAGTACATTTTCAAAACTAGGTTGCAAGTGTGGCAAGGGAGAAGAAAACACCTGTAGAAATTTATCTAGTGACTGCCATCACTCAGAGTTTTCCAATTAAGTTTTTCTACGGAGAGCAAAGTTAGCCCTCTATTAGATACCATTATTATGTCAAGCTTGTGACTGAAGCAGTCGTGTTCCAAAGGATAGAATAACTGGTCCATGTAAACACAAAGTCAATGGGCATTTTAGGATGCAAAGAAGATGGAATGAAACAACAAAAGCAGACTGTGATGGGATGATGAGCTGCTTGTGCGTAAAATAGTATCCCCTCAGAGTTTGTTCAAGTCCACAAACCTCTGTCTGTGACGGAGCCCCTCAGACATGGCTCCTCTAGTCACTAGCAGATTCCGACAGTGGTTGCTTTCGGAATCGCTTCCAACATAAAAGCTCCTTAACGGAAACACGTCTTCTGGACTCTCTGCGTGACAGTTTCCGGCGAGGAGTGGGTGTTCCTACAGGAGGTCCTGAAACCTCCCCACTGTTTTCGCTGGAAGTGTCTCTGAGCCATCCCTCCAGCTCACTTTCCCTCAGCTCAGCTCCTCTCCCCCTACTGGTTCCCTCTTCAGCTGCTGAGTCTCTCCCAACCTGTGTGAGCCCTTTCACCTCCCTTCCTTCCGATGGCAGTTCCCTGACACAGACCATAATCATTTGCCCTGGCAGGCCCTCCTTAAGAGTAGTGCTATCGCTACACGCTGAAAGCTCATGCCCTCCACCTTCTTTTACACATGAATATGTCATGTTTAAAATCTACACCTGCAGTTCTGAATTTCCGAAACTGCCATTGAACCAGATCTACTACCAGCCCACAAACTGGTTTACTGACAAGTGAACAGTTGACCCCAACACATCTGAATCATAGAAAGGGGAAGAAATACTTTGCAATAAAAGGATACTAAGGTCCACAAATGGTGGGACCTTGAAGCCAAAAGAGAGTGCAACCTTGAGCAGATCCAAGTTATTGACGTTGTAGATCTGTTTCAGAGAATGGGAATCATAAGCTCTTATATAGGCTTTGTAAGCTTCTTGGGCAGATTTGTGAAGAAAGTAGTTCTTCTCGATCAATTTTTCCAGCTGAAAATTACAAAGGCAGAAGGAACGTTCAATTATACAGTCATCTAATAAATGAGGAAATGGAACATTTTGCAGGTAACTGACATTGACATTTATCATTTGGAAGAATAGAGCAATACAGTTGGAATAGTACACACATTTATCAAATTGTAGTTTTCAAAGTTAACAATGCAAGCTCATTATCAAGAAATACTGTTTTTTTCATTTTTTATTTTTTATTTTACAAAAATATGTGGCTATAGAATTTGAAAATTAGGTATAAATTTCCTTCATAGAACGAAGTGTGAAAACTCCACATTCTACAGTGGGACTTTTTACCAGGTCTCTGAAAAAAATATATCCTGGTCTCCATCTTACCTATACACAGCATGTTTCCACTTCCAGGTTTTTAAAAAATATATAATGCCATAGAGGAAAGGCTTCTAAAATCACGCCCCAATGTCAACCTCTCTGATATTAACGCCTTGCAGTCAACTCAGTTTACACTCACATGCTGTCATTTTATCCTTCGTAGTGAAATTCTTGTGGGAGGAAGTGCAAAACGACATCAGGGTCTGTTCCAGCTATGGCCCATTCCTCTGCCTGCCCTGAGTCCCTCAGGCCATATACTGTCAACTGCCCTGTGGGAACTGTTATTATTTTACTCTCTTTTCTATTAGAAATCCTTCCATGAGGATGTATAAATATTCTGAAAGGCTACAAATAAACACTAATAAGAAAGACCATAAGGGTACCACTCAGGTGCCTCAACAAACGTAAGACACACACTGTGCTATGTTCGTTTTATAAGTAGGTTGCTACGGTTACTTTAAATGTAGCAGGATTAAAATTCATCCAGATTTAGTTTCACTCACACCTCACAATAGCTTCAAATTTGTGCACTGTGTGTTCTTCTATTATGATTTATTCATTAGATTGCTTTTTGTATTTATTTTTAGTTACCTAGATATGTGGGGTACAAATTTTTCCAAAGAAATAGGTGAAGCAAGCTTAAGAATGCAAGTGGCAGAAACGCTTTTATTTTTATTTTACCTGAGATTGGATGTCAGAAATTTTGGACCAAGAAAATTCAAATTCATTTAATGGTACCTAAAAGAATAATTAAGAAAACTGTTACATTATATGCAGAAGATACTGAAAAGGCAGGTGCTGCTCAAACATCAGTTCAGAGAACTGTCACTAAAAACAAATAGCAGCTGTCTAGATTAGAACATATGGAGGCTCACCCCAAATCCCATTCTTCTGCACTTGCTATATTAGTGTAAATAAAGCAGGGTTTTTTTTGGTGATGACAGAAATCCAGAGAGCGATTTCAACACAAAAATGTTTCAAAGAGGAATGGAAGTTCATACACAGCATGAGCAGCTGTTTTGTAATCGCATTCTGAAACACCCTCATAACCAAAGACATTTCACATTTCTATACCCAACAGGGGACAATTACGCTGATGCATTCCTGTGCAAATGCGTCATGGAAGTTTCTGTATTTGCATAATTCCTGCAAAAGATGTGTTCGTGAGTCATTTTATGGTGGGAAAACAAGCTTATATGAACCCCCTGTGGGCTACCACCAATATATGCAGAAGCACTGCCCTGACATCTTCATGGTGGTATTGCCTCCATCAAAGCCCTCACCATTCTATGCAAAACATACAAAACAAACAATTTTATTGACAACTTATGACCATCCTTGGCATCGTGGGAATTAGAAGCTGATTCTGTTTGCTCTGATACTGCTGGATATGCGATGGGACCAAGAACCAGGATATCAAAGCAGTGCATCCATAGCTTGTGTTAAATTTTCTCTACTCCCTTAAACTCCACATGCATATGATGGAAAGCTTCTTCTAAATTATGCAGTTTCATTACAGAAGCCGCTCTGCAATTCTACTAAGGTTATTTAGTTAAACACTCTTTAGGCAATTAAGGCAGGTAGAAATTATTTGATTAATCATTAAAGCTTAGCTGCAGTGCTCCACACTGACTTACCCTGGCTTGCTTTAGGTAACGCAAGAAACCCAGTTCTTCCGGACGTAAAATCAGCAGAGCATGTCCTCTTCCATTTATACCCCGGGCAGTCCTACCAACACGGTGAATGTATTCCTTTTTAAAAAGAAACAATGCGAGAGTAACTAACATTTTTTTTTACAGTAAACAGAGGCACAGCAAATGGCGCTCATACATAAACAGATCCGCAACCAAACTTACATAAAAGTCTCCTATTCCCCAAATGAAATTCTTATTTACTTCAGTTATGGACTTAGCTTTGACAAAACAAATTAGTAAAAAAAAGAGGAAAAGCACGGAGGCTTTGGAAAAGTATACACAATGGGAAAAATAAAGCATTGTGGGGTTTTTTTTGGGGGGGGGAGTTTGGAAGCTTGACTCTTCTTGGTTGGAGCCGACGCAGCTGCAAGTTAGCATCTTCTGGCTGCTGCTAAGGTCCCAACACCCTGGACCCACCACAGCCCATGATCTTTATTTCTTGCTGCTCCTCATTACTGTCACCATTTGCATGCTCAGGCAGCCAGCAGCACATTAACCAGCTCTTTCCTTCTGGGCTCCCAATGTCTCACCTAAATGCCACTCTAACTTGCTCTTGAACATCGCTGGAGCCAGCTATGATTCCAATACTCTTGCCTTATTCAGGCATTCCATGCCCACCATTATAGAATTGCCCGTGTGAGGACAGGAACATGCTAGCTAGATCTGCTCCCACCCTGGTCATCCCCGTTACTGGTCTCCACATACCGGAAGGCAAACACCTGCAGCATGGATCCTACTCCAATCCTGAAAGCTACATGCATGTTTCAGCAAACTGATCATGCAGCAACAAGCAATTTAACTGAAAGGCAGCGTGAAAGTCTGGCCTCTCTCTTCCTGGGATGCTGCTGTTTCTGCGCTGATGCAAGCCACCCCACATGCCAATAACTATTGGTACTAGCATTGTGACTTTCGCTACGTAAGCAGATCTTTGGTTCAGCAGAGGGATTTGACGATGGAGGGAAGGAAAAGAACAGCTGAGTAGACACAGAGGAGTGAGGAGCTCTGCCATATGCAGAATGGTGCTCTCTGCTCACTATATACCAGATTTTCCAGTTCCTTTATATATTTTTTTTAAAGTTTCCTTAGAAGAGCAATCTTGTGCAAATAATTTCCCCCAAAAAGGAGAAAAAAAGAAAAAAAAACATTCTGAAGGGTCTCAGAAAACAGTCTGAACGTACAGGATACAGAAACCCTGCAGAAGCAAAATGAAATTGGGTATAATCACTGTATGGGACAGAAACGTATGCATGCCACCTTGCGCTCCTTGCAGGAAATGTAATGGATAAAATTTAAATGTTAAATTGTGAAGTCAAGCTTAGCAGGGATTTTATTGATGCTCTATTTTTATTCTTATACGCCGTATGCCACCTTGCTATATTATAAGTGCATGTTATAAATATGCATAAATAAATATATTAAGATTTGCGGTCTCATTTAGTTTCAGGAACACGGGGGAATTTCTTAGGTGGGTTAAATCCACAGCGCCTCTGAAAACATACATCTTTCAGGAAATTGTACTACCTTTGGATCATCTGGCGGGTCATACTGAACAATCCAGTCAACCTCCGGAATGTCCAGTCCTCGAGCAGCTACATCTGTGCACAAGAGTATTCCAGAATCTGCATTGCAGAACTGGAAAAATGTCGTTGTGCGCTTCGTTTGCTTCTGCTTGCCCTAGAAGAAAGTGAGGTGTTCATGATGAGGTTCATAAGCAACTATGGGATTCTCCAGAGAGAGCCTGAAAGCCAACACATCCCTATAATGTACATGCATCACACTGCATGAATAGCAACCTGGCTACAAATATATCAGAATTATGTCAAAAATTATACTGCCAAACAAACCCCAAATCCATTACAAAGCCATAACTAGGTGTGAACAAATGTCAGAACCACCACTGTGTGGGAAATAACCTGTGATATATTATGCACGGCGAAATAGTGCTTTTTAATTCTTACAAGAATCCTGTAAAGAAAAGCCTGCATTACTATCCCCATATTGCAGCCAGTATGCCAAGGCTCTGCAGTTTGCAAAAAAACACTCCAGCAAATCCATGCCTAAGGCAAGATTTAGATCAGAGAATTGCTGGCTGTCAGTTTACACTTTTAGCCACCACATAAAATCAGAAGAAATGTCCAGCATGGAAAAAGGCAGCAATTACTGCTTTTTATGAGAAAATGCAAGAAGAGCAGCCTACAGTAGGAAGAGGGACACGGGTGGTGCTGTGGGTTAAACCACAGAGCCTAGGACTTGCCGAACAGAAGGTCGGCGGTTCGAATCCCTGCGACGGGGTGAGCTCCCGTTGCTCAGTCCCAGCTCCTGCCAACCTAGCAGTTCGAAAGCACCCTTAAGTGCAAGTAGATAAATAGGTACCGCTCCGGCGGGAAGGTAAACGGCATTTCCGTGCGCTGCTCTGGTTCGTCAGAAGCGGCTTAGTCATGCTGGCCACATGACCTGGAAGCTGTACGCTGGCTCCCTCGGCCAATAAAGCAAGATGAGCGCCGCAACCCCAGAGTCGGTCACGACTGGACCTAATGGTCAGGGGTCCCTTTACCTTTACCTTACAGTAGGAAGACTGTGAGAGAGACCTGAGTGCAACAGTACTTTCCTCACTTGTGATTCCCAGAAACTGGCATTCAGAGACACACTCCAACATGGGAGGCAGAGCATAGCCATCGAGAGTAGCAGTTCAAGACTGATTTATGTTGTATATCACACTTTCTACTTCAGTGGGAAAATAACTCAAAAAGTATTGAACTATAAACATCTCCAGGTAGATGGTTAGAGACGTTGTCCAATAACGCATGGTTAAGTCTGCATTCTCCTCTCCCTGCCCCCACATAAATCTATGCTACACCTTTTTTGGTGAACCTGTTTTGGTGTGTAAAGAAAACCAGCAGCAGCTCTTACAATAAAACATCCTTAATCAACCTAGTGCCCTCCAAATGTTTTAGACTACAATTCCCATTAGTCTCAGCCAGCATGGCGTGCTAATGGGAGTTGTATTCCAGAGAGGTTATAGTAAAACCCATACACAGGAATGGGTTCTACCACAAATAAAAAACCTCTGCCATTGAATGGTTAAACCTTTGCACAAATCTGCCCTGAAGTTCTTTGTTGCAATGACACATTTCACTGGAAATACTCAGGGCCTTCCAGGTTAGGTAAACTGGCAGAATATGAACTGCATCAGTTGTAAACATAAACATAAACAAAAACATAAACAAAACAAAACAGAAAAAAGTCCGTTTATGGGAGAGAATGAAAAACTTTTTTTTTTTGCTTTCTAAAAAGTGCACAGTATTGCAGTTAATTTAGTAAATTCTACCTGAATAGTCGTTTTTGTGTTAATTTAAGAAGAAACAAAGGGTGCTTTACTTCTTCCACAGTATGGGCACTGGGGGGGGGATCACTTTACTACATTAATGCAGACACACTTAAAATGCTTAACTGTCAGCTAACAACATTCTAACAAACAACTTCAACCTTGCTGACAAAACCGAGTTCTTCACATAAGCATTTTAAAGGCAGGTTTAAGAGAAAGGTTCAGCTGATGACATTTAAAGGTTAATTTATGACTCCATTGCAGAAATCTTGCTGAGATGCTGACATTCTTGTTATGCACTCTCAGGCTTCATAAAAGGCCACCTGCAATTTACAGTAACTTCAAAGCTACATGCATTATTCAAGCTTGCAAGTCGGCTCAAAACACCCAGCTGTAGATGCAAAAGGGGTCTCATGATAGCATAGAGCAGGGTAAATTTCTTGCTAAAAAGAGGGGCTATTGAAATTATTCACAGTGTGTGCTGGAAGTCCCATAAGTCTGAGATCAGCTGTCAGTTAAAGATGGCACTTAGCTGGCCAAAATTTTTGTAAATGTACTGGTTGAACAGTCAAAATGCCTCAACCTGTGGATCCCCAGATGTTGTTGGACTACAACTCCCATCATCCCTGAGCTCTGGCCTTGCTACCTAGGGGTGATAGGAGTTGTAGTTCAACAACATCTGGGGACCCACAAGTTGAGAACGGCTGGCTTATAACATCCATCACATCATAATGACCGCTAAGCTATTGGTTTGCTTAAAACATGGTTCATTTAACTGAACACCAGCACCATCCTTTAGTTGAGCAGAAAAACAAACTATGGAGCAGCTGGCTTAGCATTGCTTAAACCAGCCCTTTCGGTTTGTTTCTCTCAAAGAAACCATGAATGAGCAGGGAAGCCAAGAACAAACCTTGGCAATAGATTGTGGGAGTACTCAAGCAGCATATATCAGCACGCATCTCATGGATAGTTAAACAAATAATACTTCAAAGCTTAGCATTACCTCTGAACGCAGCCAGTGAAAAGGGAGCACGCAATAACTCACAAGTGATGGATTACTGCTAGATTCTGGTTTATCAGATTATCAGCTTTATGTATATTAACCCAAAATAAATCTTGAGTGATCAAAACAGTCATGGATAAACATTGCCAGTTTCAAAGTAGATTGTCATTTCCAAAACATATACTTACGTGAATGGCCAGGACTGGGAGATCAATGTAATTAAGAAGTTCATAATGATACTTCACAGACATACATGAAGAGAAGAACACCATCAGCTTTTTCTTCCGATTCTTCTTGAGGAAAGTGAAAAGTAGGAGGAACCTCTTTTCTGAAGGGCACACTACGTAACCCTAAAAATGATTGGGAAAATGGTTTTATGTACATATAGCCTTCTATAGTACTATTTCTAGCAACTTCCAAATGGAAGCACACTGTACCAAAATGCACCTAAAGAATTGTGTTCTGATAACCCATTTCCTAATCTCTTACTCTTGAAAAAATTTGATCAGAAGTGAAGGTGTGTGGTTGACTCCCATCGACTAAAGGAAAGGGATCAAAAAGGGGTTTTAGAAACAAACAAACCCGATTCCAATGCTATTCATCTGCCAGTAGAAAAGGCACCACTGGCAGAATGGATTCCCCTTCCTTCTGCAGCCCCCCCCCCGCCCGCTGTGATGGCAAAATCTGCTCCGGAGGGTTGGATGACCCTCTGTAGAAGACTGGGGGCTGCAGGAAGAAAGACATCCCATCATAGAAAACAGTTACGTTTTCTTAAAGTTCCATCCTATGCACATTTGCCAGCAATCCAACTAAATTCAGTGGGATTTTCCAGTGAACATGTTCAAAAATGATGGCCTTAGAAAATGTCAGGCCACCTGAATAAAGATTTCAGTGAAATGTGGGTTTTACTTTTAAGCCCCTTAAGTTCTATTTTCCTTACAAAAAAGGACTATAAAGAGAATCTGCATGAGTACAATTAAAGTTTACCCCAAATAATGTTCAACTATTCCTGCAGTTTTTGTAGGAATGACTTTTTAAGGCTAGTCACTGCCAACTCTGTTATCCTTTTGGTGCTAGGCAAAGATGGTTCCCGCTCCCCGCCATCGCTTGGGCAGCATCTGCCTTTAATGTGACTGTGTTTTTATCTTCTTTATCCTAATTGCAAATTGTTTTGAGACTTTAGTAGGAAGCAATATACAAATTTAATAAACCTAAGCCCAATCTAAATCTGGTATAAAACCATTCCAAGTGAGATAGTAGACAATTAATATCTTCAGCCAGCAGCATGGCGTCCACACTATTTGAAAGCTGCACTTAGCTGTAATTATGCCACTGCATAGGAATCAGGTTTGTTATGGAAGATACATGAATATTTGAAAAAAGTGATCAGCTGTAAGCCAAAATTAGAAACATTATGTACACTGGCTGAACTTGGATGCAGATCTCAATGTCTGGGTTTGCATGTAGCACTTATTTATTAAGATCCTAGGGCAGGCTACAGCAATATAATATACAATTATATATGCTACAGTAAAATTAAAAAAACACAAGCAAAACATTATAACCAGAGCAGAACAATACAAATTCAGCAAGTGCTGGGTCCCACAAAACAACAGGTATTAACTGTCCAAAGTCCAGAGTGAAGTTACAGCTTCAGCATATGGTGAAAGCTATACAATGAAGATGCTAGATCAGGTATAGGCAAACTTGGCCCTCCAGATGTTTTGGGACTACAATTCCCATCATCCCTGACTACCGGTCCTGTTAGCTAGGGATGATGGGAGTTGTAGTCCCAAAACATCTGGAGGGCCCAGTTTGACTATGCCTGTGCTAGATGCATATCTGTGGAACTATAGGTGGCCAACAATAAAAGCTTATGAATCAACAACAAGCCATGGTTTAAAAGTGTGGTTTAGTCATTGAGAATAAATCCTGGTTAAGACACTGAACCAGGTTAGGACAATTGAATTAAACCATAACTTAAGAGTTACATGAGAACCAGGACAATATGAAAAACAAAGGGCACCTGGAGAAAGGGAATTCTGATAAAAGTATATAAATGAGCGTCCAGGACAGCAGTAAAAATGAAACAAACTCTGCTAAGAAGCTAATGTATCTTTCTACTACTACTTCCACCACCACCACCACCACCACCATCGCTTGAGAGTTACCTGTTCAAGCCCATCTACAGTTGCTGTCTCTTTATTGTCATCAACCCCAACATACAATGGCTCCTTTTTTAAAGAAATCTTGGCCAGGTCTTCAACTTTACGTGTTTGTGTAGCAGAGAACAGCATGGTTTGCCTACGCTCTGGGAAGGGAAAAAATAGGGAGCAACTTCAACTGAATGGATTAGAGCAACAGACCTTGAATGAAATAAAACACACTAATGCTATGAGAAACACACTTGCTCCTTGTATAATCTGGATATTTCTAAAATTAGCCGGTCACAGGTTTTTTTCAACTAAGAGCCAAATAGTTTCATAGCAGTCCAGTTTTGAAGTAGAAGCACACCAAAAACATTATTTATTTATTAGCAAGTGCTAATGCAGATGGGCTGCAATCCTTAACGTGCCTACTTGGGAGTAAGATCTACTGAATAGAATGGAAGTAATTTCTAAGTAAATATGCATGGGATTACTCTACAAATGTTACTATTTAGCCCGCTGTAAGGAAGGCACATCCATTTAAAATTCTGCACAGTGCTTAAAATGAAAACGCAAAAGACACCGAAGAAGTGAGCAAGAACTGCAAAAAATAAAAATAAAGTGTTTTGAGACCGCCGCTCTCCCTGCCATCTCAAGAAAGAAAGAATGAGGACAATTTGAATGTTTGGCTTACTTGGTAGGAGCTTAATGATCTGTTTCATTTCTTCCTCAAATCCCACTTCTAAGATTCTATCTGCCTCATCGATCACCAGGCACTGCAGGTTCTTGAACATAAACCCTGGAGTATTCTGCAAGGCATTTAAACAGTGTCACCAGCTATCACAAGGCACACAAAATAAGCCCTGAGCTACGCACTCCTCTTCCTACCTGCATATGGTCCAGAAGCCTGCCTGGAGTTGCCACAATGATGTTAATGCCATTTGCAAGTTTCTGTGCCTCGGCAGATCTATTACTGCCTCCCATTATCAGGCCATAAGTGTGGACGTGATGAGTCATCAATTCTTTGAGGACACCATAGGTCTGCATGGCAAGTTCCCGAGTAGGCGAAAGGATGAGGACGCCCGTTCCTGGAAGGGGGCAGAGGGAAAGATGCAGAAAGGAGATCATAATGGCAAACAATTATTCCCAAATTTATCTTCAGACTTTCAAGTGAGAAGGCAATGCAGAAAATCTTACCATTCCTGGGCATGAATTTTAACTTGTAGATGAGTTCTATGGCTGGAATAAGAAATGCCAGAGTTTTGCCACTGCCGGTTTTTGCAGCTGCTAGAATATCTCTGCAGATAGAGTAAGTATGAAGAACTGAATTTAGGAGTAGGAAAGCTGAAACAATTTAAAATCAAATAAGAACAGCTTTAAAGCTAAACATTAAAAATAAAACCGGAGTTTGTGTTTATGCATGCCTAGGCAAAAGTAAGTCCCACTGAGCTTATTTCTAGTTATAGGATTGCAGCCTAAACTACATGATTACACATGACACAGAAAATTGTTTGCCAAAATACATAAGTGGGACTACTTGAAACTGTCACTATTTTAATTTTCCACCACAACCTTAACTGATTTTAATGTGGCATGCTTTAATACAATGCTCACAATCCAGCAATGAGATAGAAAGAAACGCAGCCTGGTCCTATAAGCAATTATTCAAATTAAGTCCCATGGGGTGATATCCAATTGTGATGCCCCATTTGCATATGAGACTGTTGCTTGTGCAAACAGGCCCTGCTCTTCCTCTCCTTTCCCTTACAGATGTGCGTTTCCCTGTTCCATATGGTGTGTTTGGGAGTCATGCTAAATATTACCCCTGTATTCACTGGGCTCTTATCCGGCTAGTATGCACAAGATAGCAACCCCAGTAACAGCACATGTGGTGGGGAGGAGAGATCATTCTGTGCCTATCTGAGAGCTACTTAGTTACTTTGCATTCATAGGAACATACAAAGAGCCCTGTCGGATCAGGCCAATGGGCCTTCTAGTCCAGCATTCTGTTCTCAGTGGCCAACCAGATGCCTCAGGGCAGAATCCGAGCACATGATCACTCTCCCCTCCTGTGATCTCCAGCAACTGGTGCTCAGAAGCATTGCTGCATCCAGTTGTGGAGGCAGAACACAGCTATCGTGCCTAGTTGCCATTGATACGATTACAAAAAAAAAAAAAAGTCCATACAAAACACACCTGCCTTCCACAAGCCATTTCTTACCTGCCTTCCACAAGTGGTTTAATACTTTTATGTTGAATTTCTGTCATGTGCGTAAAGCCCATGTCAGCTATTCCTTTCAACGTGTTCTCACTGACAAGGCCATTAAGGGAAGCAAATGACGTATCCTCAAAAGCACCTGAAGGCAGAAATGATCTTGGTCAGTTTCCATTGACAACATGCCAAAATAAATAGCAACAAACCCTTATTAAAGTAGAACAAAGCTGGTCTTTCAGTATCAAATTTCGTTTCTGCACACCACGGAAAATTCTGACGACAGCTAACTTATCCAGCTCCTAAGCATTCCCAGCCTCAGTACACACAACTTTCTCTGGAATCATCTGACCACCAAATAAGCTTAGTGTATTGCTGAGATGGTTTAATTTTTCCACATATGAAAGCCACATTGCAGCAATGCCTGAAGGAGCTACACATCTGCAAATCCCATACACAGCCTACTGCAGGGGTCAGCAAACTTTTTTAGTAGGGGGGCAGTCCACTGTCCCTCAGACCTTGTGGGGGACCAGACTATATTGGGGGGGGGGAATGAACGAATTCCTATGCCCCACAAATAACCCAGAGATGCATTTGAAGTAAAAGCACACATTCTACTCATGTAAAAACACGCTGATTCCCGGACCGTCTGCGGGCCGGATTTAGTAGGTGATTGGGCCGGATCTGGCCCCTGGGCCTGAGTTTGCCTACTCATGGCCTACGGCATGTGTAGCATTTGCTTGCCAATATCTCTTGGCTTGAGTTGTGCAGATTAATATGGGAAAGTTCCACATGTCTGGACAATTTAAGGCTACAATGCTACATACAATCATACACAGGCTGGGAACTGGCACCGTAAAGGGACATCCCTCCTGCCCACCCCACCTTCCACTCTAACCAATGTGAATGCTGGAGCCGCAGACATAGCGTGGGATGCACTGGTCCATCAAGCCTTGCCACTGCTGACCAGAGGTTCGTGCTGCAGATGGATGCCAAAGCAAGGATAACTTGATCTCCAAGATCAACAGAAATCAAAATCCAGAGCCCTGGAGCCCAGTCCAATAAATCTCACTGAGTTCAATGAAATGTACTCCCAAGGGTCAGTCCACAGACAATAAGTGAAACTACCAATTGACTTAACGTTCGCTTTAAAAAAGAGAAAACCCAGTACCATCTGAACATTTTGATATACAAAATCTCACTAAACAAGAAACAGAACAAAGAAGTGGGGGGTGTGAGGAGCTTGCCTGTTAGTCCAAGAGGCAAAGCAAGTCCATCGGCATCTTCAGACTCTTCTTTCTCATCCAGATTTTCACTACTTTCTTCTTTGGGCTCCCCATTTAAGGTGTCTTCTTCCTCAGTGCATTCTTCCTCCATTTTTGCTTTCTTAATTTCTGTGTATACACAATGCATGGAAATTAATCAATGCCAACACCGGACATGTACATATGAACTAGCAGTCTGCAGCAAGAATCTATATGGCAGTCAGTGTAGTTGGTATATTCATTGAAAGGGCCATAGGAAGAATTCCACATTGTTGATCTCTGGTTTTAGCATTTAAACTATGGACAAAAATGTACTTATGCCACATATAAACCACCACCAAAGTTTCTGCATCTAAGCTGCAAAAGGAGGGAAAAGCTGGTTCTGCACTATGTGGAGTAGTCACCTAGAAAGCAGAAGAGAACAAAGAAGAAAACAGAGAAGGCAGAATTGTGTTGCTCAATCAGATGAACAGCCAGTTTATCTACTGCTCTTCCAATATGGACTCCATTTTTCAGGTTTCCCATTCAATAGAAGCTGCGTCTCCCTCCCTGTGCTGCTCCTTGAAGAAGCTTCACACTTGCAAGGCACTTGTGCTACTTCTTTAAACTTTGAAACCAGACAAGGTAAACTTTGAAACAGCACAAGGCAACTTACAAACATAGGACTGGCAATCCCCTTTGCACTGTGGTTCCCAAGCACCTAATAGGCAACTGTTGGGCACCTGAGCACCCATAAAAGGCATTAAAATGGTCCCGGGTCCTAAGGAAGTTAGATTGGCTTCAACCAGAGCCAGGGCCTTTTCAACTCTGGCTCCAGTCTGGTGGAACGCTCTGCCTCACGAGACCAGGGCCCTGCAGGATCTGATTTCTTTCCGCAGGGCCTGTAAGACAGAGTTGTTCCGCCTGGCCTTTGGCTTGGAGCCAATTTGATTCCCTCCCTCTCTTTCTTTTTTCTTTTCCTTCTCCCTCTGCGATGAGGCTACATTTTAATATTTTAATGTTGTATGTTTTAATTTTGTTTTTAAGTTGTAATCATTTAACTTGTTTTTATTATTGCTTGTAAGCCGCTCTGAGCCCGGCCTTGGCTGGGGAGGGCGGGGTATAAATAAAAATAATTATGATTATGATTATTTTTACAACTGGATAAAAGTAAGAGATATAATACCATTTTCTGTATCAGCCACAATTTTTCTTTTCTTCTTTTTCTTCTTCTTTTTCAACTCAGGCTGTGTGTTTCCAGCCTCACCATTGTTTGGTGTTACTTTAGTCTGTTCCACACCCTCTGTTTTTTGTTCTTCAGCTGCTGCTTCTGAGATGCTGGAAAAGTCTTCTGCGATGCCCTCAATTGTTGCTCCTAATGAGACAAACAATAATAAATCAAAGCAATGTCTGATACCATTTAAGAAACAACAACAACAACAACTTCACACATGAATTTTAAGGGCCAGATCACATTCATAGCTCCTCCAGTTAATTACTACTGGTGCATACACTCTCTCTATTGGACCCAATGGACAACCTCTTCTTGCTCACAAAAAGTAAGTGTGCACATGTTTTAGAAAGGATATTGTAGAGCTGGAAAAGATTCAGAGAATGCCAACCAAATACGACCAAGGGGATGGAATGACTCCTCTGCAAGGGTTGCAGCACTTGTGCCTTTTTAGTTTAGAGCAGGAGTGTCCAACCAGCAAATCACGATCTACCGGTAGATCCCTGGCTGATCCTAGTAGATCATGGGATCCTTATCATGTACAAAAAGTTACGGAGGGGAAAGCTACAAATCTCTGTGCAATCCTCCCCCCAAAAAGCTCAACAACTCTGGGCACTTCCCTCCTAAAAAAAGTTCAACAATCCACCCACCCCACGCACACTCCTCCTCCCTCCAATGCCAATGGGTAGATCACTGCCAGTTTTTTTTATACTGGGAGAAGATCAGTCTCTCGGGAGTTGGACATGCCTGGTTTAGAGAAAAGGTGAGTGACATGACACATGGCATGGAGGAAGTGCATAGTGTTTCTCTCCCTCTCTCACAACTCTAGAACTCTTAGAACTTGGGGAAGGGTTACAGCTCAGTGGTAGAGTAACTAGCTGCCTTGAAAGCAGAAGCCCCTGCGTTCAAACCCCAGTACCATCTCCAGGTAGGGTTGGTAGAGATTCTAGCCTGAAACCCCAGAAAGCCTCTGTCAATCAGTGTAGACAATGCTGAGCAAGCTAGACCAATGGTCTGGCTCGATATAAGGCAGTCTTCCTATGTTCTTATGACCTGAAACTGAATGTTGGAAGATTTAGGGTAGACAAAAGAAAGCACGTCCTTATGCGGTGCATAGTTAAAACTATGGAAGTCACTCCCACAGGTGGCCACCAACCCATATGACTTTAAAAGATTAGACAAATTCCTGGAGGAATCTGCTTCTCCCTCTGTTGGCCATGATGGCTATGCTCTGCATCAACGGTCAGAGGCAGTCAAACTTCTGAATACCAGTTGCCCCCAAACACAGAAGTGTTCGAATCTTGCTTACAGCCCCTTGGCTACCTTGAGAACAGGATGCTGAACTTACCTGGGCCATTGGCTTGATCCAGCGGGCTATTCTCACGTTCTTAAATACAAAGAAATACACTGTTGTCCCCTGATCGGGGTGCAATAAATGTGTGTGGGAGGGAGCCACGTATCACCTTTTGGCGCCAGGCAAATGCATTCCTCTTCTCCCAGGCCTTTGGCTAACTCAATAATCTACAGTGGTACCTCGGGTTACACTCCGGCGGCGCGGCAGCAGCAGGAGGCCCCATTAGCTAAAGTGGTGCTTCAGGTTAAGAACAGTTTCAGGTTAAGAACGGACCTCCGGAACGAATTAAGTACTTAACCCGAGGTACCACTGTATTACCCTTTTAAACTGTTGGGGGGGGGGTGCTGTTTTTGCTCGTTACTCTGTTATGTATTTTTTTGCGTCTTTATACAGCCACCCGCCCTGTGACCCCCGGATGAAGGGCAGCGTAGAAATCCAATAAACCAACGCACAAATGAAACAGAAAAAGCCCGTCCCTGGTCTCCCCTCCTTCCCTCCGTGGCGCCCGTGTCCCTGTCTCCCCACCGGCCGCCGTCTTACCGGAGGGCCCGGGGCCCATCGCGCCATCCGCCGCCCCCGCCGCTTGCCGGGCCAAGTTGCGCTGGCGAATCTTGAGGTTGCGATTGTGGAGCTTCTTGCGCAGCAGCCGCATCGGCAGGTTCCCGGTATTGGCCGCCATGGCTGCGGAGACCGAACGCCACCGCCGACCCCACGTGCGCAGAGGGAAAGGGAGTCAGGAAAAAGGAAGGAGCAGTCGGAAGCGGCGGAGGCCGGTGCACGAGAGCTTCCGGTGCCCATTCGCTTCCCTCCTTCCGCCCCAAAGGGGCAGGTTGCAGCGGCCTCTAGAGGATCGGAGGAAGAAGCGCAGGCAGCCGGGAGGTGAAAGCGCGCAGGGTTCTCCCCGCTTCTCCTCTTCCTCAGAGCTCCGTCTTTCAATGGCAGTTGAGCCAAACGGGCTGGGCAGTCTCCTGACGCGACTCTCACCAGAGAGCAAAGCCACATTCTGCAGCTGTCTCCTCAAGTCACTGGTGCTGCAGACACACTTACCTGAGAGGAAACCTCGTTGGATTCAACGGGACTGACTTCTGAGCAGACAGACACACGCACTGGACTGCTTTTGCAGAGCCAAGACGGCATTGCCGGTTTGCTTAACGATGCTAAGATGCCCTGTGCCATCCCCGACTGATGCTGCTGATGCTGCCAATGGTCATTTTGCATACAAGCTGAGCGCCATTCGAACGGTGCTTTTTGCATTTCGTTGCCCTTTAACCTTAACCTTTCTATTCTCTATGCCCCCGTGAGCGTAAATCACATTCAATGCATCTAATGAAGTGGGTTTTAACCCACCAAAAAATTATGCCAAATAATAAATCTTTGCAAGACTGACTCGTTTTTGCTACGGCAGATGAACCCAGCTACCCTTCTGCAAGGTGTCAGTTATCTTCAAACCCCAGCTATGTAGCAAATCAGGCCCCAGTATGCACATAAAGCACCAGAGAGGTATGTAAACTGGTTCAAGGACAATATTGTTCAAAGTTCAGACATATACTGGCAGGGCAAAGTTAATGCAGGCTAATGAATCATTTATGTTTAATATATAAACAAATTTTTTTCTTCCAAAAAGCAAAGGGAAATTTATGGTTTTTAGGACCAAACGAAAGTATCACAGAATAGTGAGGAAGCTTTTTATAGGCAGCAGCGTAGTGTGGGTTGTCAGCACCCGGGGCAAGGCAAGTAATTTGCACCCCCTAACCTGGGGCAAGGCAAGTAATTTGCGCCCCCTAACCCCTAACCTGCCGCCGCTGCCAGCTTCTTCTTGCTGCTGCCTGGTCTGGTCTGGTGTGGTTCTCTCCCGTGCTCAGCGCTGCGCTGGGCGGCCGCTGCACTGTCCCTCCCCCAGATAGTCCCTCGCTCTCTCTCCGCACTGCACGCCTGGCACCCACCCCCTCCACAGTGGGCGGCGACCCAGCAGCTCGGATCGGATTCGCACAGCCAGCACTGCAGTGAGAGAGAGTGAGTGAGCCAGGTAGGGGCAAAGAGCTGCGAGTGCGAGCGCGCCCCCCCCAGATGTTGCGCCCGGTGCGGCCGGCCCCCCTGCACCCCCCACGCTACGCCACTGTTTATAGGCTCATATAAATGGAGAGGGGAAGGGACCCCTAGAGTCATCTAGTCCAAACCCCTGCAGTTCAGGAATCACAGCTAAAGAACCCCCGACCTCAGGGTCAAAGAAACATACCATGGTAGACAGTATAGTGTAAATTGCAGCTGCTATCCAGATTAGTCTCCATCCTTAGGCAAAACTTGCAAGGTGATTTTTGTTTTGGTAGGTGGAAAACAGAAATGCAGTGGTACCTCGGGTTAAATACTTAATTCGTTCCAGAGGTCCATACTTAACCTGAAACTGTTCTTAACCTGAAGCACCACTTTAGCTAATGGGGCCTCCCGCTGCTGCTGCACCGCCGGAGCACAATTTCTGTTCTCATCCTGAAGCAAAGTTCTTAACCTGAAGCACTATTTCTGGGTTAGCGGTGTCTGTAACCTGAAGCGTATGTAACCTGAAGCGTATGTAACCCGAGGTACCACTTTAAAGCGAAACTAGACTGCATTCCTCTTCAACTTGGTATAAGGCTGTAACTGCATGGCATGAGTGAAATGGCATAATGTGCCAGTACCCAGGAAGAGATTCTTGTCCAGGCCAATCATGCAGAAATTGCTGTCTATTTAGTTAAGGAATGAGGCTTCAAAAGCACCAGGCAGTGACAGATCACAGAATGTGGTACGGACTGTGTCTCTTTAAGAAGTATTTCCAGATTTGAAAGCAAAACTCATTAGATAGTGATATATGAATCTCCAAAACAGAGGAAATGCAGCACAATAAAAAAGAGGACCAAAATTCCCATACAAAGTGCATATGTACATTTGCAGTTTATGAATACTGTACAGAATCAAATTTAGAAATGTAACTACTGTAGTGTAAGTAGAAGTAGAGTATATCGCTCCACAGTTGTCTAGGGACTAAGCATTGATAGGCAACTTCAGGGCTCCTGCTCTCCCTTCTTAGGGTCCCCCCTTTTTTCCTTATTAAAAAAACCCCCAATATTCTCTTTAAACCAGTCTTTCAAACAGAGGGCTGCCCTCTAAAGCTAATGGATACATGGAAATAGCAGAGTGGAAGTTGGAAGAGAACAGCACAGAGGGATTCTGGGCAGAATGAGGATAGCGAGAGAGGTGAGTCACTTAGAAAAGTGGACCACAAAATATAGGCATGCATGCTGTGGATATGAGAAATGCATATTTATTCTAGCAAATATGGGCAAATGGTGCATGCAAGGATATTGCAGACTTGGAGGTGGATTTAGGGGAGAGCAACTGGTTTGCCCACACTGGGGCACTGCAGGGCGTGCTGAAACAATGATGAACAACAGAAGGCAAGAGAGGCGGGGGCACTGAATTTTGGTATAGCACAGGGCGTTGCTGAAATTTTAAAGCCTCGTCTGCCACTGGCAGACACTAGAGTTACCTAAATACTGACCCAGTTGTTTGGCTGCTATCAAGTGATGTCATGGGTTTGATTCAACTCAATATCATTGAGAGATGTGGGCTGGCAGTGGTGGTCATGCATTTCAGGTACATGTCTTGTTTTGGCCTTGAGTATCTGCAGAAAGTTGTGTGGAAAACTGCCTGTAGCTGCAAAACAGTCACAAATCATGGCACTGTGCTAGAGGTGTCTCACTGCAGTATTTTTGATAGAGGGCCAATCTGTTTCACTGTCGGTCCCTGGTGCTAGACAGACCTCCTGTAACACCAGCTTTTCAGCTCTGAATTGGATTATCAATTTAGGAGTTCTGGCTGCATTCCTGGGATGAGAATTGAGCAGCTACTTTTCACTTGGTCAAGTAACTGAATTTTCCAGCTGCTCTTTCAGCAGTTGGCACTCAGTGACCTTTTGTTCTAATGTCACTTCTTTTAGTTCCCATCAGTCCTATCAAGCCAATATGTTCCACATACTTTTTTGGACAGTAGGTGGTGCAAACAGAACAGTTATTCGGTAATACTTTCACTGTCACTAGTCAACAGCAGTGATGTGTTCTTAGAAATTGGAATAATTTATTGCTACCTTTTATATATTACCACTTCTCAATGCAGAAAGACGATGGTTTTAATGTACAGGAATGAAGAAAAAACATGTTCTTTTTAATGAAACCCAAATACATGTTTATTTTTCTTCCCACGCATTCTGATTTCTGTTTGGGAAAGTATATATGAATGATAAAAATATATTAATGCTTTAAAAACTGTTTTAAACTCGCACCAAGTCCTTGGAGTTTATAGATTGCTTAAGAAAAACATAGCAAATGTTTTCTCTTGGCAGGAGGGGAGACTTCAGAAAAGTTTGGGAGGACTGGAATGAGTAAGGCTTGTTAGGTGACAACTTTGTAAGAGTAACCTTGGGAATGCATTTCAAGTTGTCACTGAAGGTAAGAAGCCGCTAATTGGAGGTGCAAATCCTTCATGCAGGCTTCATTCTATCTGGCTTAGAGAGACATTTCAAGCACCACTTGTCACAATTTGTGATTCTAAATCTTGACAGTTTGCTGAAGCATCCTTTCCCAAAGGAACACAGGAGGATGTCAACGAATTTAACCTTGCCTGCCTTACAGCAGTGACTCTCTTCTGTTTGGAGGGCTTGGGAAGCCCATTCAGTAAACCTTGTCGGCTTGAAGAAATTGACCCTTCTGTAATGTCTAACCCTCCAGACCACTTATTAAAACACATGCAGAAAACCCCCAACAACTACACTAAGTCTTCATATTTTTCTAAACCGAGATAGACACATGCTAAATCCAGGTTGAGGGAGTGCAGCTGGCTTAAGATTTTGGGCCAATTTCAGTTTTCATCCTGAAAAAGGTGAACCCTATCCCAGAAGGGCCACCAAACTTTTGTGACTATATTGTTGTGTTGCTTTCATTGCTGTTGAACAAGCTCGTGTGAATAGTTTGCTGCAAGAATTTAGCACAGTAGGGTCAAGCTTATAAAGAGATCATTTTTTCGCTTCTTCCTTACTGCAGAGATAGCCAATGAGATGCCTTCAAGATGCTGTTAGATTCCAGCTCCCACAAGCATGACCAGCGATTGCTGATGATCACAGTTATAGTCCAGCAATAGGTGGAGGGAGTAGCAGTGGGGTAGGGTAGCAGTACTCACCTGACCTCTGGTTGCTTGCATCACTGCAGCATATTAGGATGGAGAACTGGAAGGTGCAAGGTTGGTGCAGTGTACATGCCAATCTGGCACTTCTGCTTGTGCAGCGCACCAGCCTTGCTGCCATTTTGCTGCTCCCCATCCTGCTATGCAGCAGCGGTGCAGGTGACTGGAGGTCAGGTGAGGCCTTCTGCCTCACCCTGTGGTCCACAAGGCCACCATATTGGCTGCCCCTGTCTTAATGCAGCATCTTTTGACTGAGCGCTAGTGCCAGGCATCCCCTGGACCAAACTAAGCCCCTAAGTGGTACCATCCAGCCCCTTCTAGCTGCCATCTCTAGAGGCAAGTGCAAGGTGATGAACAGTATCTGCAGCCATTCACTTCGGAAGCAGGTTGCTTTGGGGCGGGGCCTGAAGCCTCAGCGCAGACTCCAGATTCTTTTTCAAAGTGGCCCTCCAGCAAAGCTGCAAGACAAGCTGCTAGAAAGTTTCAGAGATTGCCTCAGAATGTCCTCTCAATAGGCCTATCAGCGCACATTCCCTGTAGAGAAGCTTCCCCT